ATTTTTATCTAAACCCTTTTATCCAAGTTCATAAAGCACTCGGGGATAGGGGCAGGTCAGCTACCTCCCAAGGAAAGCCACCAGTTTAGACTGGTGATTCCAGTATAAGATTCTAGTTGGAAAAATATAATGAGTTGAAAACCAGGTAAGTAATTGAAGAGGAAACTGTTAGAATGTATTAAATGGGAACCTTTAACTTCACAAATTGGGACCACACTTAAATTCTAAAGTCTGATACTCATTCCATTTTCATTGCCTTCTGATTCTGTTCCTGCGTGTTTAGTATTTTGAGTATAATATCTGGTTAATGGTATCACCCAGCCACCTAGTAACCTAAGTTCCCATCAAAGTAAGGGAAATTCCAAGAGCCAAAAATGAAGAGAAAAGTAAAAATATTAAGTGTGAGCTGACACTGCAGCAACTCGGAAGGGCTGAGAAGCATATATCAAGGGGCTTGGTTTAGGCAGAAGCTTAGGTATTGGGCCTATGCAAAATGGGGTATTGGACAGAGACCTTAGCACATAACTGAGACCCTTGATGGGTTATACCCCCAGGGGAGAAACATCCGCCTAGTGGCACAGACAGATGTTAAGGAAGCTTGTATTTCTCAGCCAGGTCTCTGAGTGGAGAAATTATTCTTAATCTTATTCTTAATTCTTATTCTGAAGAATTCATAATCTTAGGCCTGTGTCACCCTAGGTTTGCAATTAGATTTAAAACTATCGCTAATGTTAGGAATTCCCAGCCAAGTAATTAACCTAAAAGTGGCCCCAGGATGGCAATAACTTTGGGGCACCAGGAAGAAGAAGCTCTTGTAAAATTGCTCTGATGGGTGACCCATTCAACTTAGGACACACTTACTTCCTCAGATACAGCCTTGTTAAAGGTAAATTCACGTTTCAGTGTCACAGAATACATGAAGAAGACACTTCCTGATGAGAAGCAACAGACATAGAAAGCCCTAGGATTAATTCTTTAAGAACCATAGGAAATAGAATTATCAAATAGAAGCTTTAAATGCATAGGATTATAATTTTTAAAGCAAAAGAATAAAAAAGCATGGTCTAAGAGTAAGGCTATTAAAAAAGACCAGGTGGAACTTCCTCTTCTAGTCAAGGTGGAATAACAGAACATGGATTTACTCTACCACCTGAAACAACTAAAAACACAGACAAAATATATGAAACAATGGTACTGAGGAAATTGGACATCAGTCAACAAAAGCCAGTGATCCCTGAGAGACGGGAAACAAATAAGGTGAGCCCTGTGATTGCCCCACATTACTGTAGGGAGAAACTTTTTGTGGAAAATAGTTTGTCAGTTTCTTAAAAAAAATATTTTCTTCAATTTAATAAAATAAGATGATAAAAGTTTTTTGTTGTTGATGTTGTTTTTGCTTTGTTGCCTGAGATAGAGTGCAGTGGCGGCATGATAGCTCACTGCAACCTCAAATTCCTGGCCTCAAGTGATCCTCCTGCCTCAGCTTCCCAAGTAGCTGGGACTCCAGGTGCATGCCTCCATGCCCTGCTAATTTTTCTATTTTTGGTAGAGATGGGGTCTCACTATGTTGCTCAGGCTGGCCTTAAGTGATCATCCTGCCTCAGCCTCCCAGAGTGCTAGGATTACAGGCGTGAACCAGCGCACCTGGCCTTAAAAAATTTAATGTGTGTTTAACATGTGACCCAACCATTTCACTACTGAGTATTTACCCAAAAGAAGTGAAACCATATGTAGACAAACTCGTGCATGCATGTTCTTAGCTGCCTTATTTGCAATTGCCCAAAACTGGAAGCAATCCAAATGTCCATCGACTGATGGTTGGATAAAGAAATATTTGGTATATACAATAAAGTAGCACTCGGCAATAAAACAGAATATACTATTGATACATACAACAAAAATGCGTGAATCTCAACATAATTATGCTAAGGGAAAGAAGCCAGACAGAAAAGAATATGCTTCTACTGTTGACCCTCAAACAATGTAGAGGGCACCTACCCCCTGTGCAGTCAAAAACCTGTGTATAACTTTTGACTCCCCAAAAACTTAACTAATAGTCACCTGTTAACCTGAAAATTTAACGATAACATCAACAACCGATTAACACATATTTTATGTCATTTGTATTATATCCTATATTCTTATAATAAAGTAAGCTAAAGAAAAGAAAATCATAAGGGAGAAGAATGTGGGAATAAAGGAAATGGTATCTACCAGGAAAAGTAGATACAGAGCATAAAATAAGATAGTAAGAAGTTACTAAAGCCTTGGCTTCCAATTTTCATGAACATAGTTATCAGCTGGAGGAATTTGCCTCATGAATGGGTTCCCTGAAGGGGTCTGCAGTGATGAAAGTTGAGATGCCTGCCTGACTAGTATACATTTGGCAGTCGTAAGAGGGACCTGACGAGTGGCCTTTTTATCCCCTTCTCCCTTAACTTTCATTCACCCAAGTGACTATTTATAAGTCTATTTATAAGACTATTTATAACCACCAGATTGCCTAAGGAAGGATAAACCGGCCCAGGTTGGAAACGGAGTGGGTCAAAACTCTTATGCTGATTAGTAGTGGGATTGTGCCTGTGAATAGCCACTGCAGCCCAGACTGGGCAACATAGCAAGACCCGATCTCTAATTAATAAACAAACAAACAAACAAATAAATAAATAAATAATGCACAGGAAAAATGTGGTTCACCAAAATTTTGCCTCACGTATTTTTCCATGTTTCTACAGTTTGGGGAACTTTCTAGTATTCAGGAACTAACTGTATGCAGGCATGTGTTTATAGAGAGGAAAGCTAGAAATCCACTTCTCTTTCCTTAAAAAGTTTATATAACCAACACGCAGACAAACCTGTATGACTTATATTTTGAGCCCAAATTCTATCAGTGTCAAGAGTGTTCTCCAAAATTTTAAGAAAGAACTATCAGTATAATTACCTCAAGGGGCAAGATACAATATTTTTAATGTAACCTCATTTTTCCATATATAAGCTAAATTATTTCTTATGTAAGTACATTTGTGATCTAACCTACGTTAATGTTCAATTTTTACTAAACTTTTCCCTTTAGTAAACAGCATTTTTTGAGACCTGTATATGCAACCCTTATATAAAGCATTTGGCCCTTGAAATATAGGATAAATGACAAATAGCTAAATTGTCCATTTTCTCTCACTTTTGAAGGCAAATATTTATGCAGAGCTGTTCTTATTTCAGGGAGAAAAACTAAACCACCACGACCAGATTCCCCAGCCGCTACGCCAAATATATCTGTAAAGAAGAAAAACAAAGACGGGAAGGGTAAGTACTACTATAATTTCCCTGTAATACTAACGTGTCAAATAACCTTCAGATTGTTTTATAGCAGCAGTCCCCAAACTTTTTGGCACCAGGGACTGGTTTTGTGGAAGACAGTTTTTCCATGGATGGGGTGGGGAGGGATGGTTTCAGGATGATTCAGGCGCATGACATTTATTGTGCAGTCAGTCCTCTCTGCTGATGATAATCTGTATTTGCAGCTACTCCCCAGCACTAGCATCACCACCCCAGCTCCACATCAGATCATCAGGCATCAGCTTCTCTTAAGGAGCGTGCAACCTAGATCCCTCGCATGCACAGTTTACAGTAGGGTTCGCACTCCTATGAGAATCTAATGCTGCCACTGATCTGACAGGAGGCAGAGCTCAGGCGGTGATGCCAGCGATGGGGAGCAGCTGTAAATACAGATGAAGCTTTGCTTGCTCGCCCGCTGCTCACTTCCTGCAGTGCAGCCTGGTTCCTAACAGGCCACAGACCAGTACCGGGCGCAGCTTTATAGCATCTGCATGTTGTAAGTAGAAACCACCAGCTTTCTTGATATGTTGATGGATCTTACTGCTGCCACGTGCTTACTAGATACAGTTGCCAATTTCTGTAAAGAAACTGGTAAGGCAGGGCACAGTGGCTCATGCCTATAATCCTAGCATTTTGGGAGGCCGAGGTGGGAGGATTGCTTGAGGCCAGGAGTTCAAGACCAGCCTGGGCAATAGTGAGACCCCGTCGCTACAAAAAATTAAAAAATTAGCCAGACATGATAGTATGCGCTTGTAGTCCCAGCTACTCGGGAGGGTGAGGCAGGAGGATCTCTTGAACCTGGAGTTTGAGGTTGCAGTGTGCCGCTGCACTCTAACCCAGAAAACAGCGCGAGACTTTGTCTCAAAAACAAAACGGAAAAAAAGAGAGACTACTAATAAAGTAACCAAAGAAATTAATTTGAGTGACTGTCACTTACCTGTTAAAATAATCCATTCCTTTCATTTAATGATGAGGCTCTTAGAAGAGTTCAGCCAGGTTAGATTTTCAGTTCATAGACACTTTATTACGTTGTCTTAGAGTTCAAGTATTTTCATAACTCTTGCCGAAATTTGAAAAACACTGTTATGGCTGATCTGCTGATTCTAATACAGAAAGAATAACTATTGAAAGGTTTTGTATAACTCTTTCATGTTTCTTCTACGTGACGGTTTTCAAAGAGGCAGAAAAAATTGTCTCAAAGTACGTTCTCTCTAAATTATCAAAATCTGACAAGATTGCTTTGTTCAGACATCTTTGTGGGACTTAATAAAAAGATTTTTCTTAGACCTTAAAAATTATGACCATTATGTCACCATTACTAACTGAATTATATCACCAATACTAACTGAATTATGTAATATTTTTGTGTAACTATAGATGGAACTTTTATGACTTTTAGTTGTGTTTTATTGTGCTCTTTTACATGAAATTTTGGTCATTTAAAAAGAAATTGTTTTTGTTTCAGGAAACACAATTTATCTTTGGGAATTTTTACTGGCACTGCTCCAGGACAAAGCTACCTGTCCTAAATACATCAAATGGACCCAGCGGGAGAAAGGCATTTTTAAATTGGTAGATTCTAAAGCAGTGTCCAGGTTGTGGGGGAAGCACAAAAACAAACCTGATATGAATTATGAGACCATGGGACGAGCACTCAGGTATGTGAAATTTTTGTAGTTTATTGTGTTAAGAATATCATTTCGTAAATACTAAAAAAATGGTAACTTTAAAAATTAAGGGATTAAAGAAATGGTGAATTTTATTAATCAAAGTGCCAAAACCACAATACTTATAGAAATCAGTGTGTGTTTAAATTGAACTCTTATTCCAATCTGGGAAAATGTTTTCCTTCCAAAAAAAAATCTTCATTGCAAACAACAGATATCTTACTTACAAAGAGATCAGAGAGCCAGGTGAGGTGGCATGCTTCTGTAGTCCCAGCACACTTTGGCAGGCTGAGGCAGAAGGGTCACTTGAGCTTAGGAATTTGACGTTACAATGAGCTATGATGAGACCACTGCACTCCAGCTTGGGGGATAGAGCAAGACCTTGTCTCTTACAAAAAAAAAAAAAAAAAAAAAGAGGTGAAGGATCAGAAAATGTCTATCATCAGGAATTGTAAATAGGCCATTGGGTTCATATGTTTTAAGCTATTAAACTTAAATTCAGCAAAATACCAATAGTGATAATGCAGGTACTTAATAAGAGGGTACGTTTTTACACATGAATCTCAGGTATGATATTTATTATGGTGGAATAAATTAAAATACTTCAAGAATAATACTGGACTGTGAAAATTTTGAACCATTTTATTTATTCTTTTTTTTTTTTTCCAATTCTTTTTTAGAGACAGAGTCTCGCTCTGTCGCCCTACGCTAGAACGCAATGGTGTGATCATAGCTCACTGCAACCTCCAATTCCTGGCTCAAGTGATCCTCCTGCCCAGCCTCCTGAGTAGCTGTTAGCTGGGATTACCGGCACATGCCACCCAGCTAATTTTTAAATTTTTTGTAGGGATGAGTTCTCACCAGCCCAGACTGGTCTCAAACTCCTGGGCTTAAGCGATCTTCCCCTCTTGGACTTCCAAAGTACTGGAATTATCGGTGTGAGCCACCACATCTAGCCCCATTTTATTCTTAAGCTCATTTTTAGTTTGTTTTTCTATGATACAGCCATTTATTCTTCAAGGTATGCATGTATTTGAGAAAAATTTACTAGAAATAGAAATGATCTGAATGAGTTTTAAGGTATATATAATTTGGCAATCTTAAACTAGAACTATTTAGTTACAGTTTTTAGTTTTTTAATTTATACTTTTTAGGTTCTTAATTTTATAAAAATTGATGACAAAATTTGGATCACTTTTATTGTACATCATTAAGTCATAGCCACAAAACTGAGTTAAGTTTACTGAATCAGATTTAAGCTGGTAGGAACATTGATAGGAAGCTGTGGAGGGGGAAAAAGTTTCTTAAGGTTTTTAATAGATTTGATTATCCTGACAGATTAGCAGAAGGGTAGAGGAGGGAAGAAAAGTGAAGGGCCAGAAGATTCTTTATCAAAGTCCCCTCAGTAGAACTGGTTTTAGATTTAGTTGGTAATAAGGACTTTTCTCTATCTGTGCATAAATGTATGTGTATCTTATATAAAATAACTGCCCTTCATTTAGAAATTCTTTTCTCACTTGTTTGATCCCAACTTTTAAATTTTCTTTATGATGAGGAAAATTTGATTTGTTGAATATTATTTTATGTTTGATTGAATAAAATATTGATGAAATTGTCTGCTTTGAATAGGTACTATTACCAAAGGGGTATTCTGGCGAAAGTGGAAGGTCAGCGCCTGGTGTATCAGTTTAAAGAAATGCCAAAAGATCTCATATATATAGATGATGAGGATCCAAGTTCCAGTGTAGAATCTTCAGATCCATCACTATCCTCAACAACCACTTCAAGCAGGAACCAAGCAAGCAGGTCAAGAGTACCTTCGGGTCCAGGGATAAAAGGAGGAGCCACTACAGTTCTAAAACCAGGGAATTCTAAAGCGACAAAATCCAAAGATCCTGTGGAAGTTACACAGCCATCAGAAGTTTTGAGGACAGTGCAGCCCTCACAGCCTCCATATCCTACCCAGCTCTTCCGGACTGTTCATGTAGTACAGCCAGTACAAGCTGTCCCTGAAGGAGAAGCACCCATAACCAGTAGCATGCAGGATGAAACATTAAATTCTTCTGTTCAGAGTATTAGGTAAGAAAACTAAAGCCGCCAGTGCATATCACTACATGATGTTTCTGACCAGAGCCATTGTTTAACTGGGGCAAGGTTCATCTGATGACATGGGCTTTATCAGGGGGGAAAAAGGATTCAGAAGTGAAAATAAAAATAGATAGATTTCAAGCTAGAACTCTTGGTCAACAGATTGTTTCAGGAGCAATATATATTACATTAGTCCTCTGATTATATATATCAATGATTCCTGATTTTTCAGCCTTGACATTGTTTTATCAATTTAAGTCTAGTCTACCATAGCTTCGTATAAACTGGATTGATGTATTTAAGGAGTGATTTAAATGTGAGAAAATCCAGAGACTGGTTTCATATCTTTATTCAAATCAAGTCAAAAGCTATACAAATTCAACATAAATTGACATATTATGACAATAAAAGTACATTGAGTTTCAGGAAATAAATGTTATTCCTTGAGAAGATCCTATCTTGGAACAGTTCTAAAGTTCAAACAGGTAGGAAGGCTAAGAATCTAAAGTCCTGGTTTTCAGGCTTTTAGAGTGGCAGAGGTTGGAAAAGTAGCTGTGTTAGTTTAATCAAATCACATTTGCCTCAGAGCCCCAGGAAAGATGCTAAATAACAAATTGACCAAGAGAACCCTACGTGCTTTGGGTCCAGTCTTCTGTAGAAATTTGGGACTCGTCTCAGCTGATTTAGAATGGGGGCAAGAAAGGAAGGCAGAAAATTGGATGGAATTTGCTGCACTCTCTTTTTCTGTTTATATTGTCATCCATTTCTAGAACACTAATTATAATAAAATATGAGCCCTTCTAAAGCCAATAAAAATGATTCTTTGATTATTTTAATTAGTAGACTTCAGTCCTACATTTTTATATTCCAGAATATAAATGCTAAGATTTTGTTCAACTGATCTTGAAGTAAGTTTTATTACCTAGAATCAAGACCAACTTGGATGATTCGGTTGTCTTTGTATAGTCAATTTAAACTTCTAAAATTTGGCACTGTGAAAATTTAATTCTCTGAAGTCTTCAGTTGATTTGCAAACAGACTACAAAGATGACATTTTTCATTTTAATTTGGATGATATATTAATATCTCAGTAACTGTTAGTAAAGGAGTGCACATTGAGTATTCCTTATCCAAAATACTTGGGACCAGAAGTGTTTCAGATTTCAGATTGTTTCAGATTTTGGAATATTTGCATTATACTTAACTCTGGTTGAGCATCCCAAATCCAAAAATCCCAAATCTGAAATGCTCCTGTGAGCATTTCCTTTGAATGTCATGTTGGTGCTCAAAAGGTTTTGGCTTTTAGAGCCTTTCAGATTTTTGGGTTTGGGATGCTAAACTGGTACTTATTTAGCTGTCACTCTATTTTCCTTTTAATGTTTTATTTTCTTTAAGGCCCTGTTGGTTATGTGTGATGACTGTCTAGTTGAGAGTGGGTGGTTCCTCCCATTGGTTTCTAGGCTGTTGTGTTTATTTGTGTTGATAGGAGATATACAATAGCCAGTTAGTCACCGAAACCCCCTTCTTGGAGTGATTCAGTGGAATTTTTTAGCATCTGTATTCAAAATTACCTTTTTAGACTGTAAGAATAAGAAACAAAACAAAAAACACTTCTAGGTTTGAAAGATACTAAATTTTAGATATTGTATTGGATACTATAGTACTCTGAATTTCAATTTCTGATTAATACCCAATGCCAGATATTAAAACATTGTAAGACTTGCCAGGAAGGTTCAAAGCTACACTCCCTCCCATTGGCTTTTAAACTGTCCTTGGTGTACCTTTCAGAATCTTCATTTCCAGGGTTCCTGAGAGTTCCATGGACTGTGCCTGCTTCTAATATTTTTTTTTCACACCAACCTGTATATTTATATTATTATGTGTCATTTTTCTAAAGTAGCTTTGTTATGTTGCCTTCTTGTTGCTTTTGTTAGATCCATGTTGCACACAGAGTGCAGTCCAATTTCTGTAGCCTCAGCTGCCAGCTCTCACCCTCTACTAACAATTCCTTCCTTACTCTCAGATAAAGCTGACTAAGCCTTGCCTGTTTCTCAGTCTGTTACATAAACCTGGTGTTTCAGTTTATTTTAATGCATGTCTTTTCCCACATATTTAAGACCCATATTTTATTCATTGTCATTTTCCGAGCACCTAACATTGTATGTAATGTGTCAGATATGTTCATATTTATGGAATTTATTTCAAAGTAGTGTATATATTCATTCTTATCTTCTCTTATCTCTGCTTAAGGAGTTCTGTAAGCGGACTACTTAATATAATGAAGAAATATAAAATTTAACTTTTTTAAACTTTAAAACATACATTCTTATTACAATAAATCATTCTTATATTTATATGCTTATATGTATACACATATTCTTAATCACTTTTTTTTTTTTTTTTTGAGACAGAATCTCACTCTTTTGCCTGCGTTAGAGTCCCGTAGCGTCAGCCTAGCTCACAGCAACCTCAAACTCCTGGGCTCAAGCGATTCTTCTGCCTCAGCCTCCCGAGTAGCTGGGACTACAGGCATGCGCCACCATACCCGGCTAATTTTTTCTATATATTTTTTTATTTTTAGTTGGCCGATTAATTTCTTTCTATTTTTAGTAGAGACGGGTCTCACTGTTGCTCAGGCTGGTCTCAAACTCCTGAGCTCAAACAATCTGCCCGCCTCGGCCTCCCAGAGTGCTAGGATTACAGGCGTGAGCCACCACGCCCGGCCTCTTAATCACTTTTTAAAAAGTTCTTCTCTTACTTGTTTAGATCTTTTATTTTTCTCCTTAAAATTCTAGTTATTATCGAGCAGTTAACCCTTTAATAGAATGCATTTTATTCCTTGAATTACTAGATGTGGAAAAGCAAAAGCTAATAGATAGGAACAGTCTCTGAGGACTTACAGCTGCTGAATATGATTGCTCAGATTTTGCTATGGTCTTGTTCCTTTCCATTGTGTAGAAAGAAAGAAAAAATGTTAAATTTCAAGCAAATTATATATACCTCTGAAATTTTAACATATTATTAGAATAGTTTTTTATTAGAATAAGTAATTTCTGGTTTAGTTATTTTTTGTTTGCATTTTTATGATAAACCAACCTTTTTTATGAAAAATTAAGTGTCAAACTATACTCATAAGAATAGAGACATTATCCTAAATAACCATATTATCACTCCTAAGAAAATTAACAATAGTGTGGCTATATCTTTCTTGATTTTATTACTACTTATTAATAAAATCAGAGGCCTTTTGAAGAATTTTTTTGTAGGCCAGGTGCTGTGACTCACACCTATAATCCTAGCACTTTTGGAGGCTGAGGCAGGAGGATCACTTGAGGCCAGGAGTTTGAGGCCAGCCCAGGCAATATAGTGAGACCCTGCCTCTACAAAAATTTTTAAAAATTAGCTGGGTGTGGTGGCACACATTAATGTCCCCCCTTTTATAGATGAGGAAACTGAGGCAAGGATAGGCCAGGGAGTTTGGTCACATCTAGTAAGTGGTGGAGATAGTATTTTAATGCAAACAGTTTAGCCCAAAGCAGTGAGGTTAATGACTTGCCTCACTGCCTACTGATTTACATAATTCACATGAATTATCAGTTATTTACAATGAGGCAGCAACATAATTTTTTTCCTTTATTCATTTTTTTCATCTCACATAACTGCACATATCTACATTGAATCAGTTAAACTTTTCTTAATAGACTCATGGTATGTGTGCTCATGGTATGTGTTTTTTACAAATTTTAATTTGACTCCCGCTTCATGTTAGTCAAAGAAACAACAAAAATAAACCTGTCTACATGGGTTTTCTGTGATTAAAAAAAAAAACAACAACAAATAAATCTCTAGTAAAGTATTTTCTGAAAATTGTCCCCTGGTAAACTTGGAAGTCCATTTACCTACCATAACTATTTTCTCTAGAAAATTTTTTTAAGTACTAATAGTTTGTCTTAGGGTATTTTAAATAAATTATCCTCTAAAAATGTATGACATGTAGGTTACCTTACAAGCAGTGAAATGGAGTAGGAAGAATGTAGGCACAACCTTCCAGCTCTCCAGCCTTCCCACTTATTAGATAATATTTAACCTTACAGGTGGTTGAGACAATTAAAGGACACTTTTTACACTTAAGTAGATCTTCAACAAAAGCTGAATGTTGTGTATCTTAATCTTAGAAATTTTGATGAATAATAAATTACCAATATCGTACCAGTTGTTTACAAGCAGCTTAGGAGATTTTTAATAAGTAATCAGCTATAATATCATCTGTTATATAATATAATCAGATACAACTGACGGTTTAATCATTAACTAAGGAAAAAAATTTAAAGTCCTATGGTTGGGGAAGGCTTCATAATTTTATTCTTTAATCTCTAAATTTTTATTAGTGAAAATTGTTCTAGAATTTGTGCAGATAAGCCAATATATTTACATTGTAGATATTGTAGGTAAGTCTATATATTTTCTGACAGATGGCAGTCGGAGATGTGAGGCAAAGGACATCTTTTTCTAATTTGAACAAAAGCATGGACGGCCTAGTTGCACCCCTGATTAGCAATATGGAACATTTCCAAGCACATTATTCCTTTTGCCACACGCTAGAGAGAAGGAAAAAGGGGAGAGGTGTTTATTAAAGAGTTTTAACTGCCCACAGTATAAGGATATCATAGTAAATATTCATCTTTAGCTGAAGTTATTCAGGATGTAAGAGGTGGCAGTATGTTGTAACGGGTAGGCACATAGGCTCAGCTGGCCTCTTTTCTTATCTAACTGGTCATCTTATGCAAGCTGTTCAACCTCCTTATGCATTAGTTTTCTCATATGTGTAAAATGGGGATAATATTTATAGGGCAGCAAGGTTATACATATTTATATATACAATCTGAGTGCTAACTATATGCAACGTACTATTTTATCCATATGTACATGTAAGTAAACTCTTTGCATGGGAAGCCCTTGGAATTTTTTAAATTTAAAAATGGTATCTGGCTGTAGGGTCAGATATCATACCCAGATTCGTATTTCACCCAAGATACCCTGAGTCAGGTGGGCAGGAGAAGAAGGGAGGCACAGTGTATTTTGGAAAAACTCCCCACTCCCAAGGTGATTCTATTTCCTCCCAACTCATCCCTGCCTGTTCAGTAATTTTAGCATATCTGGCCTTTATTCCTAGCCATACCCTGTCTACCTATTAATTCGTCATTACCCAAGTCATGATGCTCTTTTCTAGCTCTGTCCTTCAAGAGAGCTGTTAATATCCTGCTGTAGACTGATGCTCACAGTGGTGACTTGAGAAGCAGCATCCTGTATGAAGGGGTGGGCTCTAGTCATCCTGTGTCTTCCCACTTCCTTTGTACTTAACCTGAGTTGCACTGGATCTTCCTTTCATCTTCCCAGCTAGCCAGTTTGCTTTCTCCACCAGCATTTCGTTTTTCGTATGTGAGAAACAGGCCACATAACTGTAACTTACTAAAATTTAGCTTTAATAGTCTGTAATGTTTAACATTTGGTTTATGGGGACTAATCTAGCTGTTAGCCATCTGAAGTAGCAATCAAGTATCTTTTAAAAAATACAGAATTCAGAGGAAACAGTTGAGATCCAGATGCTCAGATTTTCCAACTGCATTTCTTTAATGTTGTATTAACAATTGCCACAACCATAAATTTCACAGCTGTGAACTTCTAAAATTAGATTAACTCATAATATTTATATAACTTTTTCTTCGATAAGTGGTATTAACAACCTTACATAAACTGGATTTTGTGTTAAAGGATTTTAAAAGTTAAATTGTAGCCTTATGACTAATATTTGTGAAGATTGTTTGAGCCTAGAAAACTGCTAAAACATGCTTCTATTCGCGTTTGCCAAATCTTGGCCTTATTTTCTCTGCCAGCCTAAGAACTCTCACAAGTTAATTATAATCATGACTTATTTTATGTAAATATGATATGAACTGTGAACTATTAAAATTTTTCTAAGAATTCTTTCACACATTATAATTCAGACAGGTTTTTTTTTTTTTTTAATTGAGCATGTTTCCTCTTTATTTTTTTTTTTTTTTTTTTTTTTGTCTGAGACAGAGTCTCATTCTGTTGGTCCAGATAGAGTGCAGTGATGTCATCATAGCTCACTGCAACCTCAAACTCCTGGGCTCAAGCGATCCTCCCACCTTGGCCTCCCAGAGTATTAGGATTACAGGTGTGAGCCACCGTGCCCAGCTGTTTTTCCTCTTTATATGTAAAAAAAAACCTGGTTGAAAACAATTATATGAAGTTTGATAAGTATTGTGGATGAGCATGTTGATGACATTATCCCTCAAATATTAAAATAGCAAGAATGAATCAAACAGATTTGCTTTTAAATTCCCAGCTCATACATAACTTCCTTGCTAAGCATTTTGATATCCTTCTTCCCCAACAAAATTAGTTCCCTGTTTGTAAATACTAACGTGGCACTAGGTACAGACATTTTTTCCATAGCATCACCAGGTGGTATCTTAGTTAATGGCCAGAGAGTTTTGTGCTAGGCATCTCTGTAATACGTGGTCTGGCATGATGTTGGTTATGTTGTGTTGAAAATATGGGAATTAGCATTTGAAATGTATAAGTTGTATTTAGTCAGAATGACTTCTCAAATGTTACAGTTTTAAATGATGTAGAGTATGCCAATTTTCTCATTTTAATGTCATAATCTCAATAGGACTATACAGGCTCCAGCCCAAGTTCCAGTGGTCGTGTCTCCTGGGAATCAGCAGTTGCATACAGTAACACTCCAGACGGTGCCACTCACAACGGTTATAGCCAGCACAGATCCATCAGCAGGTGCTGGATCTCAGAAATTTATTTTGCAAGCCATTCCATCATCACAGCCCATGACAGTACTGAAAGAAAATGTCATGCTACAGTCACAGAAGCCAGGCTCTCCTCCTTCAATTGTCTTTAGCCCTGCCCACGTACAGCAGGTTCTTACTAGCAACGTTCAGTCCATTTGCAATGGAACCGTCAGTGTGGCTTCATCTCCATCCTTCAGTGCTACTACACCCGTCGTGACCTTTTCTCCTCGCAGTTCACAACTGGTTGCTCACCCACCTGGCACTGTGATCACTTCAGTTATCAAAGCTCAAGAAACAAAAACTCTTATACAGGAAATAGAGAAAAAGGAGGTTGAAGATCATTTGAAAGAAGACACTGAGAAAACTGAGCAACAGCCACAGCCTTATGTGATGGTGGTGTCCAGTTCCAATGGATTTCCTTCTCAGGTAGCTGTGAAACAAAATGAACTGCTGGAACCCAACTCTTTTTAGTTAATATACCAAAAGTTATGAACAATAGTTTGCCTAACTATCTGGTTGATTCTAAGATGAATTCTACAGAGGTTCCTAATTTTTGTAATTGTTAAAAAAAATTTAGAGTTAATTCTGACTTTGTTAGGTGAGGGAGGAAAACTCAAGTGTTGCTCTTTGTTCTCTAAATGTTTCAGAATTCAATTGTGAAGGAACAGGCATTTTATACTATGAAGACATTCTTTTGAGATTATTTTTCAGTTGCTATATCATAAGCATTTTTAAAATTTCTTTCCTAATTTTACATTGTATTAGCTTTTCCGATTCTTTTGTAAATACAATCCTTAAGGCAGCAGGAAGTTTATATAGGAACTATTTTCATTCCATTTGTATAAGTTAAGTCTTGACTCTTTCAAATGTAAGAAACCTATTTTATGCATAATTAAAATTACGATGTCACTTAGGTTGACTTTAGTTGGTTGCACTGTATAATGAACTATGAATATGTAAAGTAACATTAAAAATTGAAATATGCTCATGATATGGCTGACCCTGTTTCAGAAACAGGATAGTATAAAAGCATCAGCCTAAGAGTGGCACTCTGACTAACTAGGGCAAACCATCCCTTCTCATTAAAGGAAGGGATGCATTGGACTAGACTAGATGATCTCCAAATTCCCTTCTAGTTCTAAATTTTTTATTCTAACACCTATATTTTAAAGTTATGTCGGTTAAACATTAAACATTATCAGGTTATTTCCTAATGTAAGAATAGCTAAAATATTGCGGAAAAAATGTGACCCCACAAAATTCATTCTCCTGTTATCTACCATAAGATAAGTAAGATATACCATAAATTCTTCCTAAATAGTTTGTTCATTAACTCTTTAGATCACTATGCATTGTGGTCTATTAGTAAACTTAGATTGCTGAGTGCTGAATAATATATTGCTATTCTAAGAGAGTCAAGGCTCTTTCTTAAGGGCCAAGAAAGCAACTCGAGCCTTGGGCTAATCTGTCTGAGTATTCAGTTGTTATAAAGGTAAAATTGCTTTATATTTTCAATACTTTATTATTGGGGGTAATGGGGACAATTGCATACAAAGATAACATATATATCCATCTGAAATGGTTTTTAGATTACTTTTCCAACTGTAAATAATGTACATTTAATGTCACAAGAAAAATTGTTTTCTGCAAATTTTCTAGTATAGCAAAGAGAAATTTTTGTAGATGAAAAAAATCATTATGTTTAGAGGTCTAATGTTATATGTTTTCATATTACAGAGTGAATTTGTATTTAAACAAAAATTTAAATTTTGGAATCCTCTAAACATTTTTGTATCTTTAATTGGTTTATTATTAAATAAATCATGTAAAAATTCTCAATGTTTCTGTTTTCAGGCAAATGTTTCTTAAAGAACAAGTATATAGAGAATGTCTTTAGTATTTGCAGTGTTACTAAATGTTTATATAACAAACTCCATTGGAATTGTAGGATGTCATCTCTCACCTTTCCATTCTACCATGCCAAATGGGAGTTTCTAGACATCACACAATGAGTTACTAAGTTCCAAAAATTAGAAAATAAAATGTTCTGTGCAATTTTATTAAACACACTTTTTAAAAAGTTTTCTGATTAGAAACTATTAATATGTCAGTTAGTTGTTGAACTTGGAAATCATAGAAAAATATAGGAAAATATGCACGCCTGTAATCCTAGCACTCTGAGAGGCCAAGGCAGGAGGGTCACCTGAGGTCGGGAGTTTGAGACCAGCCTGAACAAGAGCAAGGCCCCATCTCTACTAAAAATAGAAAAAAATTAATTAGGCATGGTGGCACATGCCTGTAGTCCCAGCTACTTGGAGGCTGAGGTAGGAGGATCGCTTAAGCCCAGGAGTTTGAGGTTGCTCCAGTGAGCTGTGATGACACCACTGTACTCTAGCTAGGGTGACAGAATGAGACCCTGTCTCAAAAAAAATAAAGAAAGAAAAAAGAAAAATCTCTGTAATCTGATAACTTTATACCCAGCAGTATCTTTGACTTATTAATTTTCTCATATCTATTAATATTCTTCCAAAATGTGATTTTTAAAGGTAATGTAATATTAGTACCCTATAATCCAGTACCCAAAACTTTTAACTAGGTAAGTTTTGTAGCTTTTCACTACATAAATAGTGACTATATACTCTCAGTTCATTTGTTTAGTTGCTGCTATAACAGAATACCTGAGACTGGGCGATTTATAATGAGAATTTTATTTGCTCAAAGTTCTGGAGACTGGAAAGTCCAATATCAAGGCACCAGTAAGTTTGACGATTCTGATTCCAAATCATGCCTGAATACTGCATCCAAAGCTTCATCTTCACATGGGAGAAGACAGAAGGACAAAGAGAAAGCCCATTCCCAAAAGCCATTTTATTTTTTTAAGGCTGGTCAAGTGAAGCAGTGGGAGTGGAGAAGGAACAAAGGAATCTGTAACTGGTGGTGATCAATTAGTTGTAAATACTGCACTCGGACCAACCCCAAAGTACTTTTATTAGGGCATTAAACTTACCCATGAAGGTGGGGTACTCATGGCCTAATCACCTCTTAAAGGCTCCATCTCCCTTGGCACTTAAATTTCAACATGAGTTTTTGAGGGGACAAAAATTGAAACCATAGTGTACAGTATGTGGTGGTTTTTTAAAAATTAAGCATCTTGCAGTGTTTTATATCAATTATCCTTATGGGGATATTAGATAAATTATATTTATAATGAGTAACACCATTTAGATTTTATTTAGTTTTTTCTTTAAAAAGTATAGCATAAGAATTTTTAGAGATACCTCTACTTAAGGTTACTGAAACAGTGTACAATTACCATCAACACTGAAATTGTAAAGGTAGAAGAAATCTAAAATTCATGTAGTAAGAACCTTAAAATTTCAAAAGCTTAAAACAAGTAAATCTTTTGCTTTTGACTAAGTATCAGCTACTAAGAGACCTATTTTTCCCTATTTTCACATCTGACATCCACATACAATCAATCATGCAGCCCAGGTAATTTTCCTCTTAAAGAGCTTTTAATTTGTCACGTTTCATTTTCATGTTTCTAGTTTAAGCTACCATCATTTCTTGTAAGGAAAATACAAACCTCTGAATGGGGTTTACAAGGACCAACATGATCTGTCCCTATTGACGGATCTGTCCCTAGAGAACCGTCCTGACTCTCTCTACCCATGTCTCCCCTAATGTAATCTAGTCACACTGAACTCCTGAACACGACACGGCTCTTAGTGTGTGGCCTCTGTACACCAAATCATTGACAACAGTATTTATTAAGGAAGGACCTATGATATTATTGTCGCTGCCCTTAACCTATAAACGAAGGTCACTAATAGTAACCAATCTCCATATTGCCAAATTTCCATCTTTCCTTCTCTTCCTGAACCTCTCCAGCAATTGGTAACTTTTCATCACTCACTTTTCCTTTAAACTTTCTACTGCCTTCACTTTTTCCCACCCCAAAGTTCCCAACTCTTTCCTATCCTCCTGCTTGTATAATAATCTCTTAATGCTCTTCTTGGGTTGCTCAAGAGACTTTTTCAAAGATTGGAATTACCCCAAGTTTTATCTAAAGGTTACTGTTCTCATTCTCTGTCTTTACCTTGTCTCCCTCCAGTCTGTTCTCCCCAGTGCAACAGGAGTGCCAATCTAATTATGTCAAGCCTTTGGTGGTTCCTTACTCTCCTTGGATGGAGCTGAGGCTCTGCATGGTCTCACCTCTTCTTTATCTCACCAGCTTAATCTTCAAATTCTACACTCCAAGTCTTGGTATTAATTAGAATAATGATGCTTTTAATTGCAAAAAAACAAACCAAAAAACCAACTCAAAATTATTAATACAAGAGAAAAAGTCTGGAGATTGGAACCTTCTGGATTAGTTAATTCTGGAGCTCAGTAGTAACACTGAGGAACCAAGTTTATTCTATCTGTCTGCTTTAACATTCCTCAGGATATTGGTTTACTCTTCCAGGATGGCTCCTACTAAAGATAGTTCATTCTATATTTCTGTTTATCAATAAGGAGACTTTTCCTAGAGACCCTGAGCAGCCATCTTCTCATGCTCATTGGCTAGATTGGTCATATACTCCTTCCTAACCCATACTGCTGGCCAATGAAGTGAGATTATCATAAAGGACTTAGTCATGTGTTGGGGAAACAGAATCAGGGTCCATAGTAAGGAGGAAGGGAGGAATGAAGTACCCTAATATTACTCATACACATCCTTCTTCTTGTACATACACTTTCAAAAATGTTCATGCCTACATGAAAAACATACTTCTTTCCCAAAAAATCAGCCAAAGTCTCATCCAGCTAATCTATCCTACTTCATGTCTAGGATCTCTGGGGTGATCTTCTTTTTCAGGTCGTCTGTGGTTCCCTGGATTCTTGTCCTCAACAGCTACATCTGATATGAGCACTAGGAAGAATACTCTTTCCAAGCCTGCTCAGCTTTAGAACACATTTCTTGATCGTGTGAGTTTGATGACCTGTCTCAGGGTCACCATTTTCCCAACCTGGAAGAGTATGTCCTCAATGCCTTCCATCCTGCCTTCTCCAGCTGGCCAGTTATCCATACTAGAGTCTGATTCGTAGCATTCCACTTCCAAATAGCAAATTGTCTGTTGGTTTGGGTTCTTAGCTATAAGCAACAGAGATGGATTCTGGTTTCCAGCATAAGAGAATTTTAGTAGAATATTATGTTGCTCACAGAATGGCCAAAAGGACTAGAGAATCGGCATCAATCTGAGCCACATAGCTAGGAATAAATCCTATGTACTATACTGTACAACTGGTCTAGTGAGGAAACTAACCACGTTTGCCAAGCACTAAAACACCACTTTGTACCACTGTCTGCTGCTTTGGGAATTTGATCTCGACATAAGGGCTACTGCATCTAGAGAGAGTTCACCAAGGTCCTTTCTTGTTTTGTTGTCAACTAGCTACCAATTTAAAAGTATGTGATTGGCAGAGCCTAGGTCAAGTGCCCATGCCTTTAACTCCCTTTAACTTCAAGGGAAGTTGAGAAAGCAAGTTCAGCTTCTCTACTGGTTTGGCATTTTCAGCTTCTGTAGAGGGAGGTTGGCTCATTGGAAAGACCCAAGGAATTCCCCAAACATAAGAAAGTGCTAATTTCTGAGTAGCCCAAAAGAAAGACCTATTTAAGGGCAAATCCAGGTTTCGTGGGGCTGGAACTTGAACAATTTGGTGGTTGGTGGGGAGGACTTATTTAGGAAAAATATACAATTATAATACCAAATTAGAAGATTTGAAGGAGCTTATACAAATGAATAGCTCTGAAGCTATACTTCCCAAATTGCCTTGCTAGCTCTACTTCCAGACCACTCTGTTGGGCACATTTTATATTATTCTAGTTAACTCCAGCTGTTCTTCAGGCCTCATCTTAGACATTACTTTTGAGAGCTTTCTCTGAGCTGTAAAAACTTCCGACTGCTCCCACAGAACCCTTTTACATAAATGTAATCAAATACCACATACTATTTTTTGTTTGATTTCTTTCACTTGGCATAACTATTTTGAGATTCATCCATGTTATGTTTATCAGTACTTCATTCCTTTTACTGCTGAGTAGTATTCCATTCTATAGCTATCCTACTGTTTATCCATTTACCTGGTGATATACATTTGGACTGTTTCTAGTTTTCAGCTATTACCATTAAAGCTTCTATGAACATGTATTTCATATCTCTTGGGTAGTAAATGTGAAGTTGTCTGGCTGAGTCATATTATGGTTGTACCTTTTTATATTCCCATCACTACTTTATGAGTCTCCCAGTTGCTCTACATCCTGGTCAACATGGTCAGTCTTTTTCATTTTACCCATTTTAATGGGTGTGTTTAATCATTGTGATTTTAATTTATTGTACATTTACCTAACAACTAATGCCTACTAAGTTTTGAGAGCTCTTTATATATTCTGGATACAAGCTCTTCATCAGATACATGATTTGCAAATATTTTCAAAATGCAGAATCTTTTAAATTTTGAAGTCTAATTTATATATTTCTTTTATCGATGTTTTTGGTGTTATATCTGAGAAATCTTTGCCTAACCCAAGATCACAAACATATTCTTTCTTCTAGAAGTTTTACATTTAGGTCCATAATTCATTTTGAGTTAATTTCTGTAGATGGTGCAAGATATTTATGTATTGAAACTCACTTTTTGGCATATGTATATCTAATTTGTTGAAAAGACTATTCAACTGAAAAGTGTGAAAGACTATTCTTTTCAACTATCTTTCCTCCACTAAATTATCTGTGGACCTTTGTTGAAAATCAGTTGTCCATATACGTGATGGGTCTATTTATTGACTTTATTCTGTTCTATTAATTTGTCTATCTTTGTGCCAATACCACAGATTGACAAGTCTTGAAATCAGGTAGTGTTATATCTCCAATTTTGTTATTTTTCAAAGTTGATTTGGCTATTTTAAGTCCATTTGAATCTTAGGATCAGTCTGTTAACTTCTAAAAGGGAAAAAGCCTCTGGGATTTTGACTGGGATCATTTTGAGTCTTTAGGTCAATCTTGGAAGAACTGACATTTCAACAATATTGAGTTTTCTGACTCATAAAGTAGCTCTTCATTTGTTAGTCTCCTTTACCCTTGCTCAGCAACATTTTGTTTACAGTGCATGTCTCGCACATCTTTTGTCGGATTTTTCACTATTTAATATTTTTGATGTTATTGTAAATGTCATAGCTTTTTGCATTTTAAAATTGATTGCTGATTTTGTTTTAAATCTTTTTTCTATTTTACTTAAGTATAACTTTGTAAAGTATACAAATCTTAAGTGTAGAACTCAATAAATTTTACATCTGAATACACTGGCATAATTACCACCCCATCAAGGTATGTAACATTTCCCAGCATCCATGCCATGCTCCATCTCACATCCTCCCGGAAATCCTGCTCTGCCTTCTCTCACCACAGTTTTGTATCTTCATATAAATGGAATCAATCACGATGTACTCTGTCTGGCTTCTTGAACTTAACTTCTGTATGCAAGGTTTGTCCATATTGTCGTATGTAGTGATAGTTCATTCTTACTCGTTGCTGTGTGGTATTTTTCTCCTACAAAAACACATTTAGATTATTTGCAGTTTTTGCTACTGTAGATAATGCTGCAATGAATATTCTTGTACATGATCATAAATACTCTTTCCTATTGGGTATTATGCCCAGTGGTAGAATTATTGGGTAGTATGGTATATGTATGACTAGTTTTAGGAGATAGTGGCACACAGTCTTCTAAAGTGATTAATCGATTTATACTGTCACAATATATGAAAGTTATAGTTGCTCCATATCCTTTCCAATGCTTGGTATTGGAAGTCCTTTTAATTTAAGCCATTCTGGTGGGAGTTTTCATACCTCATGAGGATTTTAATATCCCTGATATAGAACTTCTTTTCATATGCATATTGGCCATTTACATAGTTTTTTTTTTTTTGAGACTGGGTCTCATTGTCACCCTGGCTGGAGTGCAGTGGCTGGATCGTAGCTCACTATAACCCCTAACTCCTGGGGTCAAGCGATCCTCCTGCCTTAGCTTCTGGAGCAGCTGGAACTACAGGCAAGCACCACCATGCCTGGCCAATTTTTTTATTTTTAGTAGAGACAGGGTTTCACCATATTGCCCAGGCTGGTCAATATGGGCTCAAGCAATCCTCCAGCCCTGGCCTCCCAAAGTGCTGGGATTACAGGCATGAGCCACCACTCCCAGCCTTAGATAACATTTGAAAACTAACCAATGTAATTCACACTAACATATCAAAAAAATACCTATGTACATCTCAATAAAGGCAGAAAAAGCGTTTGTTACTGAATGCTTTTCTCCTTATGTTACAACCAAGGCAAGGAAGTCCATTATCACTATTGACATCCAACACTATAGTGGATATAATAGCCAGTGACAGGTATAAAGATCACACAGAAAGAAATTAAACCATCTTTATTCACAGATGACAAGATTGTGATCACAGAAATTCCAAAAGAATCTACAAAGTAGTAGAAATAAGGGAACTTAGCAAGATGACTGAATATAAGGTCAATAAGTAAAAATCAACAGTGTCTATATACTTGCAACCAAGAAAACTATAGAAAATTTAAATGCCATTTAATATCACATAAAAAACACCAAATGCCCAACAATAAATCTAATAAAAGATATGTATGGCCGGGTGCGGTGGCTCACGCCTGTAATCCTAGCACTCTGGGAGGCCGAGGCGGGCGGATTGTTTGAGTTCAGGAGTTCGAGACTAGCCTGAGCAAGAGCGAGACCCCGTCTCTACTAAAAATAGAAAGAAATTAATCAGACAACTAAAAATATATAGAAAAAATTAGCCGGGCATGGTGGCGCATGCCTGTAGTCCCAGCTACTCAGGAGGCTGAGGCAATAGGATCACTTGAGCCCAGGAGTTTGAGGTTGCTGTGAGCTAGGCTAACGCCACATGAGACTCTGTCTCAAAAAAAAAAAAAAAAAGATATGTATGACCTCTGCAGTGCAATCTACAAAACATTGCCAGGAGAAATCAAAGACAACTTAAATAAATGGCAGGAGGAAATGATATTCATAGCTTGAAGGGCTCAATGTATGTCAGTTTTCCCCCAAACGGATCTATAGATACAATGTGAGCCTAATAAAAATCCTAATAGGTGTTTTCAAACTAACAAGCAAATTCTAAAATTTTCAAGGAATACAAAGGACTTAGAATAGCCAAGGCAATCCTGAAGAACAAAATTACACGACTTTAAGACTTTTTATAAAGTTACATTAATTGAGGCAGTGTGGTGCTGGCATAACGTTAGACAAACGACTCCTCGCTCCTCCCGCTCCCCGCGCTCCTCCCATCCCTGGAACTTGCTGGAAGCTTCCCCTATCTGATCTGCGTAGGTCAAAGGGCGGTGGGGGAGAACCTGACCGAATAAGTTGGGAAACAAAGCAGCATGAGACAACTTTAGGCCACCTTCGTCCCCTCAGCGCCTTCGAATGGGAACGGCTTTTCTTTTCGGTCTCGAAAAGCGACTAGGAAGGAAGCCGGGGATGTGGCATTCTGGGGAACGCAATGGCACACCAGCAGCGGGCGCCTCTACCCGGGAACCGGAAGGTTTCTTCTTCTCCAGCATCTGTAAGAGCAAAACGACTTCCGGTGAGTCCCAGCCTGTTAAGGGTCCCAGCGCAACGATCGCGGGAATCGACGCGCCATTCAGGACTCTGCTCCTGCAAAAGATTGCGCAGCCGCGTGTGGCGTCACGAATTACAAAAGGCTTGGCTGCCTGCCGTAGCCATGATGAAAACTAGTGAAAATGGAGCTCGATGTAGCTTGTGTTCTTAACAGATATGCATACGCCCCCAATCGCTACACGTTCCTGAATGATAACAGTATGTTACACAAGTGCTTTTGTGTTACTACTCCTGAAGGCTCTGTCGGAGTGCCGTCAGGCGGGTGCGCGCGGTGCAAAAGAGACGAACATGTACACCTGAGGCCTCCGTAACCATGGCTGCGAGGGGCGGGGACTGGGAGCGCTGGTCACGGGACGGAGGGCCGGGCTAGGAGACGCGGTCCTCCACGGTCCCAGCCGGCCCCGCGCCCGCTTGTCGGCTCCCTTCCCCCCAGCCGCACGCTGCGTGGCTGCTCGTTGGCTGCTTAGGACGGAAGCCCGGTTGGTGTTTCTCCAGAAGTTTCCCCCTTGGGCGGTGGCAGAGCTCATAACCGCGGTAGTAGCAGCCTCAGCGGCAGCAATTGTGACTATCGGGAATGGCGGCGGCTGCAGCAGGCCCTGCAACAGCCCAGAGGTACGTGTTTTTTTTTTCCTGTGCTGTTTATTTTATCCCCCTTTACTTGGTAAGTGAGCCCTGCTGAAGTCGTTGTTTTTCTGGCAGGTTTTTCCAGAGCTGCTCAGATGCTCTGATCGACGAGGATCCCCAGGCGGCGTTAGAGGTGAGAGAGCCCATTTTCTGCCTCCTTCACTCTCCTTCGCGGGAGGGCTGCGTCGGGTTCTGGCTGACCCCGCCTCTTCCCAACACTGCCTTCCTGGGACCTGGGCTGCTGTTTTGATTGCGTGTCGGCCCCAACGTTGAGCCCCTCAGTCTCTTTTCTGTGTTCTGCAGTGGCCCCTTTACCCCAGACCCCTGTTTTTGCCCTTTGCACTCCCGGACTCCTGCCTCCCTGCAGGTCCTAAGAAAAACCACTGCCATTTTATTTCTTAGGGGATGCATAGATGGCCTGAAAGGATTTTTTTAATGGCAGTTATGACTACAAGAAGAAAGTGAAGTCTGGTTTGATGAAATTCATTCACTTTATTTGACAGTCATCTTCGCCTTATGTAATATTCTTACGTATGTTAAGTGTGTGTGTGAACTTAGAGCTGTGGAACAAAAACCTCTTCCCGTAGTTCCCTGAAACTTTCCAGGTGTCTGTCATTGTTCATTATTCCCTCACTTGTTTATTCATCAAAAAAAATTTTTGGAGTTGCTGAGTGCAAACAGCTTATTGCTATGAGTTGAAGTCTTATTTATATACTTAACTGACTTAGAAAGCACTTTTTGTACGTGTGCAGTGGAAGACAGACTATAAAGCTGTCTGTAAAAGAGCAAGAATTAAATAATAAGAAATAAAGAGAGACCAACCTAAAGATACACCATTCTCTGGGTCACAGAATTTAGTGAGAAGTTTCTTGCTTTCAAGCACAGAAAAGAGGAAACCCTTATTATGCTGTCATGGTCTAACATAAGTAAGGTTAGGAATTTGAGGCAAGACAGCCTTTTTCTTAGCTATGACTTCTAAAAGAAATTTGCCACGGGGTACTAGAGTCTCTCCCAGAAGATGATATTTGAATGGAGGCCTCAAGAAACAAAGGAGTGAGCTTGAAAGCTGTGGGGAACAAGCATTCCAGGCAGAAAGAAAAGCCAGTGCAAAGATTGTTGGCCTATACAAGGCGCAGCAAAAAGGCCCATTTGATCCGAGTGGAGTGGTAGAGGAGAGTAGGAGATAAGATTCTACAGAAAACCAGAGGCTAGGTCACATAAGGCCTCTTAAGCTCTGGGTGTGTTTTTGGATGTGGACGTATAGGCTTCAACTAAGGAGATTCAGTAAGGTTTCTGGGATCAGTACTGTAATAATGTTATAGGAAGCTGATAATTTTTCTCCACAATTCTTTGTCCGTTAGACAGCTATTCATTTTCTTTTTTTTTTTTTCCCCAGAAGCAAAGGATAGTTTATTAATTCCTACAATAGCAGAAGCCAGGGTATCAGCATTTTTGTGTCAGTTCCCCAAACCCCACATCCCACAGGATGACACAAAGAAGGTCAGATAATACCTGTATATGCAGTGGGTTACATTATATGAGGAGCCCAGGACGCAGGGAATCTGAATCTTTTATAATGGGCCTAAGCCTGCCTGATCTTTGCCCCCTTGAGATACATTATTTTACTGGATAGTAAACAAACCTTCCCTTTGCTCTAGACAAGGGCCACACTATCTCTGTCTACCAAGGCTGTTCATTATGCAAACATTCTGGAAAAAATTACCCAGAACAAAGGCTTCATTCTCCAGACCAGTACCTCTGTTCAGAAGACAACTGGACACATGAGAGGCCCACGGAGAACTACCTCCCAATGTCCCCAATCCATAGAATGTTATGAAAATCCAAGAATGAGGGTGGCCTCACGGAGTTAGGAGCTAGATGATGGCAGGAGTTTGGGGATCATAACTGTAAGGCATCACCATTATTGGGTTATAGCCGCAGTCCACAAATTTTTCTACCCTGCTACCAACTGGAAAATTCTTTTCTTGTTTTGTTTTGTTTCAGCGCAAAACATAATTGGCCCAGATCATTTTTCTTAAGTCGTATATTGCTGACTGATCTGTGTTTAGACAGCTATTAATTTTCTGAGTCTACATTTGTTATGGTCCTGTTTGGCCTCATGCTTCCTTTGCAAATCCAGTTTACATAAAAGTTGCTTTTATTCTGAATGGGATTTTTTCAGATAAAAAATAAAAGAAAAATGTTGCTTTTTAAGGATATTAATGTAATGAATTTCATTGTTGCTTTCCATCTTGCTTATTTTACTGGAATTTTTTGTTGAGGTGTGATATGTGATGTAAATAACACAAATCTTAAGGCTACAATTTGATGAGTTTTTACGTATATGTACACCACCCAAATCAAGATAAAAAATATCTCTGTTCACAAGCCTCCTTCGTGCTCCTTCCTAGCCAATAATTCCCCTTACTCTCCAGCTGACTCCTGTTCTGACCTCCCATCTCCGTCAGGTTTGCTTTTCTTGCAGTCGTGAACAGAATTATGTAGTAGGTGCTTTGTTGAGTGTAGCTACTCTGGTTTTGCTTTAATTATCATGTGAATATACATCCATATTGTGTGAAGTGGTATTTCTTTTTCATTGCTGTGTAATGTTCCATTGTAGAAATACAGCACACTTTATTAGTGGACATTTGGCTTATTTCTAGTTATTAGCTAGTATGAATAAAGCTGTGAATATTCTTGTACATGTATTTTAGTGCATGTATGCATTCCTTTCTTTTAGTTGTATATACTATCCATAGAATGGGCATGTGGTTAATTTTTGTATCTTGGTCATTAACTTGTGGCTCTTGGACCAGCAGTAGCAGCATCACTTGGCAATTCATCAGAAATGCATGTTCTTATTGAAAGTCCTTACAGCTCATGTATTCCAGTACTTCTTACTCATCTTTTTACAACTTACAGATGAAAACTGAAACCCGGAGAAATCGAAATGATCTGTCATGGAGATGTATGCAGCCAGTTAGAGGCAGAATGGGGGCTGCAGGACACAGGCTTCCTAATTTTTAGTCTAATGCTATAGAACAGTGGTCCTCAAAAGTGTGATCTACAGACCAGCTACAGTATCAGCTTGTTAGAAATGCAGATTCTGAGGATCCACCACAGACCTGGAATCAGAAACTCTGGGTGTGGTGAGGATGATCATGATAAGAACCACCTCTGTTTAGAGGAGATGTTCAGCTGGTCGTGGTGGCTCACGCCTGTAATCCTAGCACTCTGGGAGGCCGAGGTGGGAGGATCGCTCGAGGTCAGGAGTTTGAGACCAACCTGAGCAAGAGCGAGACCCTACTAAAAATAGAAAGAAATTAGCTGGACAACTAAAAATATACAGAAAAAATTAGCCAGGCATGGTGGCACATGCCTGTAGTCTCAGCTACTCGGGAGGCTGAGGCAGAAGGATTGCTTGAGCCCAGGAGTTTGAGGTTGCTGTTAGCCTGACGCCACGGCAGTCTAGCCCAGGCAACAGAGTGAGACTCTGTCTCAAAAAAAAAAAGAAGAGGAAATGTTCCCTTTAAACCTTGAGATGACCTTCTCACAAGATGAACAGATAAATGTAGATTATAATGCCTAATGATAAATAGGGCTGAAACCTTGATTATGAATATGAGTGTATGTCCCTCTGTGTTTTCCCAAGGGCTCCTTTAATAGTAGCCATTTTGTAATTCAGATCACCTGATAGTATGTTGGTTAAAATGTATATATCTTTATATAAAAGCATCCAATTAGGAATAAAGGGGAAACTGTTGATATCACTTAAGCTGTTTTATATTTTTCATTCAACAGTGTACATTAGTGGCAAGTGCTATAACTGGGAAGTAGGAAACTAAAGATGAAAATATAAGATAATTACTATAATGGGGTCGTGTATAAAGGAGCATAGAATAGAGGCTGACTGGGGGAGTAAAAAAAAAAAAACAACACAGAACTTTATAGAGGAGGTTGCAATTCAGTAGGTAGAGAAAATGTGTGAAGTTTGAGAATCTTTTGAGTCCCACTACACATGGTGCTTAAGAACCCAGGCTCTGGTGTCAGAAAGTCTTGGGTCCAAATCCTGGTTTCATAACTCTGTAACCTCAGTAGAGTTCCTGTCATCACTGTAGTGCAGATTTCTCATCTGTAAAATGGGAGCTACCTGAACGAGTTACTATGAAGATAAGTGAGGGACTCTATATTATATGCTTAGTACAGTGCCTGGCACATGGTAAGGACTCCATAACAAAATAAAAGTTGTTTAGTCTATTTGAACATAAAATGTGAGAAGGCACATTTTGGGAAGATAAAGGCTAAATAAGTAGAGAAAGGCCAAGTCCATCAAAGACATTAAATCCTAGTAGATGCTTTTTTTAGTTTTATCATATGATCGTGGAAATCTCTGAAGAATTTGGAGGAAGGAAGTGAAATTTTCTGAATTGCAGAATGGATTGGAGAAGGCAAAGTGATAGTGGATAGCAGAAACATAGTGGTACAGACCAGGTAAAAGAGGAATGTTTGAATCTAGGGCAGTGATTCAGGGCATGGAGGGTAATTATTTGATGTAAAGTGCACTGGCCTTGTTGACTGTTGGACTAGGGCGATGGAGTGAGACTCTCTCTGTCTCTAAAAAAAATTTAAAAAGAATTATTTCAGTAGCCACACGTCATTGACTTTGCTTTTACCTAGTAGTGTGATTCTCACAAAGCAATGTATTCAGATGCTCTTTGACTTAGGATGGAGTTACGTGCCATCGCCCCAGTTAGAGTGTAGTGGCATCATCACAGCTAACTGTAGCCTTAAAGTCCTGGGCTCAAGCAGTCCTTCTGCCTCAGCCTCCCGAACAGCTAGGACTGCAGCCACACGCCACCACGCCCAGCTAATTTTTTCTATTTTTGGTTGAGACGGGGTCTTGTTCTTTTTGAGGCTGTTCTGACACTCCTGACCTCAAGCGATTGTCTAGCTTCAGCTTCCCAGAGTGCTAGGATTAAACAGTTGTGAGCTACCATGCCTGGCCTATTGAAATAATTTTACCTTTTAATAAAACTACCAAATCTCTGGAGTGTGTGGGCAGTGGGCACAGAGTTGAAGTGTCCCTGTTTGCCTGCACTTGTCTTTGGTCTCACTAATTGTGTGATCTCTTCTTGCATCATTATTTTTCCACCTATCACCTATATATTGTGACTGTCCAGGATGGAAAAGTTTTACTCTCTCTGCTGTTAACGCTTGATCAGTTGATAACAGCTGTCTCTATCTATGAGATTGTATCTGGGCTTTGAACAGAATGTTTTAATCTGTTAGGGCTGTCTGCTATTGACAGGGTAGGAGTGGGACAGGTAAGCTTGGTTGTTTATTTATTGATTCTGTAAACCTGAGCTCTAGATTTAACTTCAGGGTTTTGTTTTGTTTTGTTTTAATTGCACAAGTTCACATTTTCTAGGCATCTCAAATTGTACATGGTCTTTTGAGTCTTCTCCAAATTAAAAGGAGAATATCTGTGATGGTCAATGTTATTCAACTAAGCTCTTCCAAATAAATGAGGTGATAATAATTACCATTTATTGAGTTTCTACTTTAGGCCAAGAACTGCTAAGTGCTTTACAGTAGATAGATACTATATTAAATTGTGTGTTTTTGGGGGAGTGGGAAACGAGAAGGGGAGATATTAATCCTCTTTCAAGGGAAAGTTCCAAGATTGTTTCCTTGCTGTCTTTCCTCCAGATAGCTTATGATTGTAGGTTATGTGATTAAAAATAGTTTCAAGTATAACTCGATAGCTTTTAAAAAACATTTATTGACACTCAACATGTTTGTATTTGTAGGAGCTGACTAAGGCTTTGGAACAGAAACCAGATGATGCACAATATTATTGTCAAAGAGCTTATTGTCACATTCTTCTTGGGAATTACTGTGGTAACTTTTCTTACATAGTATATTTTCTCCTCTTTATAAATTGTTTGTAAACTTTATCCAAGACAAAATTAATCAAATAAAAATAGAGGTTATCTTTGAGGATTTTTGAATTGTTCATTCACACAAGGTAAAGTAGCTAAAGTGTGACAAACATTATGTTAAACAATACCCATTTAAATTTTATGGGTGTCTCTTCTTCAGTGAATGGAGAATTTATACAGATTTTGTTCATAATTACTGGATCTGCTAATAAAGAATCACATTACATTTACTGTTTCACAGAATATTTAAATGAAATGGTTTTATTAGCATTTTTTAATAAAAAGGAATATTTCTGTATTATGTAACTTGAAAAATTATTCTGATCAAGAATCTGGGTAGGAAAAAACGCAATAACTTGAGTCAGAATACATAAATGATGTTAATGAGAAGAGAACTTTGTGACACATGAAGAGCTTTAAAAAGGAAGCTAAATATTAGGCTGAGAGGAAGGTAGAAGAGTATTATTTATTTGAGTGATATCTTGGATTAGCTTGTCCTAATTTATTAAAAAAACCATTTGGCCTTTCCATCAACTTGAAAACTTAAAAATCAGAATCAGATTCAAATTTTTTGTGTAGTATTTGCTAGGATTTCTAAATAAGTGCCAAAAAAAACCCATCTTTTTCTATGCAGATGCTGTCACTGATGCAAAGAAATCTCTTGAACTCAATCCAAATAATTCTACTGCTATGCTGAGAAAAGGGTATGCAATAACTACTCTTCTTGTTGAGCTTGGATTATAGATAGTAGGTGTTTAAATTGTTGAATGAGTCCATTGAAAGCTTTATATAAGTGATAAAATTCTATATTTATACATTTTATAGCTGAGATATGATTCCGTTTTAAATAGAATGTACAGTTCTATTATTATGTTAACCACAGTATGTGATAGGAGATCTATAGTTAGTGTGTTTTAAAATAGTGATAATTGAAATAACTGCAAGGTATAGATGAAACTGATAGATTTCATATCCCTTTTTTATTCATCATTTGGAATTTACCGTATTTTACTGACTAAAGAACGTCCTATTTCTCAGCCAAGCTGGCTAGGCTACATTTAATGTTATGAAAGCTCTGTATCTGTTTACTTTATATCCCAGCTTATTTCTGTTGAGTGTGACTTTATTCCTTAAGAAACCTCTTTAGGCCAGGCGTGAATGGAATCCTAGCACTCTGAAAGGCTGAGGCAGAGGATGGCTTGAGCTCAGGAGTTTGGAACCAGCCTGAGCAAGAGCAAGACCCCATCTCCACAAAAAATAGAAAAATTAGCCGGGTGTGGTGGCACGTGCCTGTAGTCCGAGCTACTCAGCAGGCTGAGGCAAGAGGATTGCTTTTGCCCAGGACTTTGAGGTTGCAGTGAGCTGTGATGGGGTCACTGCACTCCAGGCTCGGCAACAGAGGGAAACCCTGTCTCAAAAAAACAAACAAACAAAAAACTTCTTTAATTCCTTCATGTAATTATAATTTGGAGAAAGCAAGTATGTACAGTTAAAATCAAATTTCTTCTGAAGTGAGTCCCAAAATTGAATTTTAATGGGGATTGTACTAGATGTTACAGCATTTTAGAAAGTCTCTTGGCTTACTAACATTTAAATAAGATAATTTTTTTCTTTTAACAACAGAAAATCCTAAGACTTTTGTTTAGAAAGAAGGCTATTTTTCGTGATCTCACATGTATTAATTTATTTTTAATATGTTTACGCAGGATATGTGAATACCATGAAAAAAATTATGCTGCTGCTCTAGAAACTTTTACAGAAGGACAAAAATTATATAGTAAGTATTAGAATTATACTTAATAAACTAATCTATTATTTCTATATCTTAAATTCCATAGCTAAATTTTGTTAATCTCAAAATAATTGTAGGAACCCACTTTTTTCTCGTAATGACATATTGATTGCAGAATTTGAAATCACTTAAAATTGATTAAATTAGCCCTTTTGGGGGCATTGAAATCACAACTTTACCATTAGAAGCCAAAAACTATGTATAAACACTGTAATGTGCTCTGGCTTCATTTTTTTTTAAAATGGAGAAGTGAAAATTTAATTTGCTTTCTTGTTCAGATGTCTGTTCATTTTAAGTATTCAGATTGCTGAGATGGAAAGTCTTACAAAAAAGTCTTCTATGGAGAAGTGAAGTGTAAGTTTGGGTGAAAATTATGAGTGGGTACAGAAGAAACATGGAGCTTTGAGAGTATTGTGAGTTGTTAATGTCATGTTTTTGAGAGGAATATGTGAAAATTCTCATAGTAACATGGATATCTAGACATATATATAGAAATTGTGAGATTCAAGTACTTAAAAATTTGCAAAAGGCTGGGTGCAGTGGCTCACACCTGTAATCCCAGCACTTGGGGAGGCTGAGGTGGGAGGATCGCTTGAGGCCAGGAGTTTGAGACCATCCTGGGCAATACAGAAAGACCTCATCTCTACAAAAATAAAAAAAACTAGTTGGGCATTGTGACGAGCACTTGTAGTCCTAGTTGCTCAGAAGGCCGAGGTTGAAGGACACCTTGATCCTAGGAGTTTGAGGCTTTGGTGAGCTATGATTGCACCAGTGCACTTCAGTCTGGGCAACAGAGCAAGATTCTGTTGCTAAATAAAATAAAAATCTTCAAAATACTAAAAGAGTTTGTGAGTAACCTTATACAAAAATCGTAGGCAGGACACGGCAGCTCACGCCTGTAATCCCAGCACTTTGGGAGGCCAAGGCGGGAGGATCACATGAAGCCAGGAGTTCGAGACCTACCTGAGCAACATAGCGGGACCTTGTCTCTACAAAAAATTTTAGAACTAGCTGGGCATGGTGGTGCATGCCTGTAGTCCCAACTGCTGGCGAGGCTGTGAGGCGATTCTAAGAGTTGAAGGTTGTGATCACACCACTGCACTCTAGCCTAGGCGACAGAGCAGAACCTTTCCTCTGGGAAAAAAAAAAGAAAAGAAAAAATTGTAAACTACATAATCCTGATTGTATTTTCGTTTTATTTTTATGATAGAATGTTATGATTCTCTAAGGCAGTGGTTCTTAACTGGAAACGATTTTACTTCCCAGGAGACTTTGGCAATGTCTGAAGAGATTTTTGATTATCATTACTGGTGGATGGGAGATTTGCTACTGACATCTAGTGAGTAGAGGTCAGGGATGCTACTAAACATCCTTTAATGCACAGGACAGTCCCCCATAGCAAATATGTACCTGGTTCAAAATCCTGCTCTATCGTATTGGGTTTTTTTTGTTGTTGGGTTATTTTTTTTTTTTGAGACAGAGTCTCACTCTGTCATCCTAGGTAGAGTGCAATGGCGTTATTGTAGCTCACTGTAGCCTCAGTTTCCTGGGCTCAAGGGATCCTCCTGCCTCAGCCTCTTGAGTAGCTAGGACTACAGGCGCATGCCACGATGCCCGGCTTATTTTTCTACTTTTAGGAGAGATGGGGTCTCGCTCTTGCTCAGGCTGGTCTTAAACTCCCGAGCTCAAGCGATCCTCCTGCCTTGGCCTCCCAGAGTGCTAGGATTACAGGCATGAGCCATTGTGGCCAGCCCGGTATTGTATATTAAATTTTAAAAAATTTACTCCGTACTGCTTTGAATGTTTGCTTTTCTGCTGTATACCTACTCAAAGGAAAGGATTTTAGGCCCAACTATGCAAATGGAAGCTACAAATTAGGAAGGAAGAGATCTGGGCAATAGAGGTTCTTAAACTTTCTTACCCCAAGTTTAGTACATGAATAATATGGCTATTCAGTTAGCAACACAGCATAACTGCACTCTTAGCAAATTCTGAAGAGTCTCTTTGTCTCGTGCCTTGATACATATTTGAAAACCTTGAAGAGGCATGAGTCATTCCATCCTCAATATTTCTAAACCCTATTCCTTAGCTTTTAAGAGCAACAGAAAGTTCCTGCCTAAAGTCCTTCCTTGAGTAATATCTTAATATCATGCCATTGAAATTCATCCTAGAATTATTTCAGAAATGTCCTTCTGAAGAAAGCCTCTTTGGTAAAATTGCTATTGAGAGTATTTAATGTAAAAACAAATTTATCTTTAAATTTAATTCCAGGAAAAATTTAGGTTAAACTGTTAGGCTTCCATTTTTATCAGACAAAGTGAAACATTAATGCAGAATATTACCGTTTTTCCCCTTTTGTATGCTAGGAAGCTTGGTTTTATTTACTGATTATTTGAATAATGGGTTATTCAAGTCTAGGATTTAGATACAGTAGTTCACCACTAGAATAAAGTGTGAGAGTATATTTAAATTTTTAATTAAGACCTATATAGTTGAATTTCTTTATAAATCAGAAAATTTAGTTTTAATTACTCTTTATTTTTTAGATTAATCTTGCCTATGGTTAGCTTGAATTAGTCAACTTTTTTTATTTAGAGTACTTTTACTTTTTTTTTTTTTTTTTGAAGAGACAGTATTTTGCTCTATTGCTCAGGCTGGAGTGCTGTGCACCATCACAGCTCACTGTAACCTCGAGCTCCTGGGCCCAAGGGATCCTCCTGAGTAGCTAGGACTACAGGCATGCACCACCACACCCAGCCAATTTTTAGTTTTTTTGTAGAGACCAGTTCTCGCTGTGTTGCTCAGGCTGGGTGATCCTCCTGCCTGAGCCTCCCAAAGTGCTGGGATTACAGGTATGAGCCACAACACCTGGCCCTGTTTTTCTTAATGTAAATTACTATGATGTAATGTAAATTATTACATTGTGACTGTTCGGATGTAATCATTGTTCTGGGTCTTCAGAAGTGAATAATATGTTTATGTGTACGTATTTACATTGCTATCTGTAAATACATAGTTCATCATCTGTAGTCTCTTGACTTTCATGTAACTTGGAGATACAACAAAACTTCACAAAATACAAAGATGCTTCTTGGTGTTGGTAGGAAAGATATGGTAACAAGTAAAGCCACTGAGAGAATAGGAGGCAGAATAGATAGCTGCATTGAAGAGTGAGCTGGGGTCAGGAAGGGCTTCTGGACCTCAGCCAGCTGCCAGTTACCAGACCTTCCTACCCTGATGACATACTGGGAATCTGAATCAGGTCTGATTTTTGTTGTGTGCGAGGAAGCTCCTTTAAGAACAGGGGGTGTAATCCTAACACTTTGGGAGGCTGAGGCAGGAAAATTGCTTGAGGTCAGGAATTTGAGACCAGCCTCAGCAAGAGCAAGACCCTGTCTCTACAAAAAATAGAAAAATTAGCCAGGTGTGGTGGTGCATGCCTGTAATCCCAGCTACTTGGGAGGCTGAGGTGGGAGGATTGCTTAAGCCCAGGAGTTTGAGGTTGCTGTGAGCTATGATGACGCCACGATACTCTAGCCAAGGTGATAGCGCGAGACCCTGTCTCAAAAAAAAAAAAACAGGAAGATGAGCAGAAGTGTAGATTATGTATATCTAGGAAACTAGTGAGGTTGAAACTAATTTAAAAGAAGATTTTTTTTTTTTTCAGAAAGAACAACTAAATCTTGAACCTATTAGAATATTTGTAGCTATAAGAAAGGTGCTGTCAGCTCTATCAGGATAGGTGTTTTTGTCTGTTTTATTCACTGAATCCCCAGTGCCTAGGACAGTGCCTGGAACATAGTTGGTATTCAGTAAGTATTTGTTGAATGAGTATGTTAGGTTGTGCATATGAGTGATTTATAGTCAGTTTTTTCTTTATAGGTACAGATGCTGATTTCAATGTCTGGATTAAAAGATGTCAAGAAGCTCAGAATGGTATGTAGATTCCCGTGTTTTTTAAAAAGAAGTGAACATTTGAAATTTTTTGGTTTAAACAAATTTGTTTTTAACTTTATGATTCTAGGTAGTACATGTTCCTTTAGATACGGATTTCCAAAGATGTACTAATTTTTGCCTAGTTTCTTATGTTGAAAGGGAGATTTGGATGGATTTGCTTACATATTACTAGTAAGAAATTAGTAAGGCGCCTAAAATTATTCCAGGATGCAAAATTAAACCACTTTCCTTTAGTTGAAAGTTAGGAGAATTGGCTAGCTTAATCAGTATATTTGAGCCATAGAAATCATGTATGTAACTTTGTCTATAAATGTACTGTTATCTGAAAATGCTTCCTCTTTGCTTTAATAGGATCAGAATCTGACGTGGTAAGTCCAAAGTTTTCATCCTTCATGTTTTTACTTAATTTTATTAAATTTCAAGTACCAAATATATTTGAGATGGGACTTGGGATGAGCTATCTCTTAGTTAAATATTATGCAATTCTGTTTAAATACTAGTTCTTTTAGTAACTGAAATAAAATATTTTTTTGTAAAAAAGTATAAAGTTTATAGTTGTGAAAATTATTAGGCTATTTTAACGAATTGGTTGCGTGGTTCAAGTTGATTTGTTATGTTTTAGTATAGTCAGGATGATTATTTCTTATTTTTTACTAGAAAGTCATCACATTTATTTAGGTTAAGCAGTTGGAATCACATGTAGGACTTTTCTGGTAGGGTAAGACACAATGATTAAGTAAAATTGGAAATATTTATCTCCAATTCAGTGGTTATGTTTGTCGTTTTGGGAATGAAGATCTTCAGGTGTTTTTAGTTACTAAAAATTACGGTGGAGTTATAAAAGTGGTTTTTATTTTTTAATCAACAGGTTGATATAATAGTACAGTTAAAATATGGCTAATGCTTTTTTAGCTGTTTAAACAGATAAAAAAGGTTACTTTTTTTGTTTTTAATTATTTTGGGTCCTATTAATAATATTTGTGTATCTTTATAGGGTACATGGTGATGTTTGATACAGGCATACAATGTGCAAAGTATACCCTAACTTATTGTTGACTATAGTCACTTTTTTGTGCTATCAGATTCGTTCATTCTATGCAGTTATCTAACTATATGTTTGTACCTATTAACCATCCCCACTTTATCCCCTGCTCCTGGTTACTCTTCCCAACCTCTAGTAACTATTATTCTATTCTTTGTCTCCATGAGATCAATTGTTTTTTAATATTTAACTCCCACATATGAATCAGAACATGTGAGATTTGTCTTTCTGTGCTTGGCTTATTTTACTTAACATAATGTTCTCTAGTGTCTATGTAAATTAATCAAGAAATAAAATAACAAGGAATTGGGAGATAACATGCATAGTCCTAACTCTCTTTATGGGCAATTACTTAAACTTTTTGAGTCTCTTTCATTTCCCAATGAAGATGTATATTTGTCTTCCAAAATTCCCATTGTAATACTGAGATTATTGCCTGAGATTTCTCCATGTGTAAACTGGAGCTAATAAAGCTGATCTACTTCAGGCAGGTTATTGTGAATTTCAGGCAACATATGCATATGTAGTAACTGGGATTTTGAACATCTCCATTAGTGAGCCCTGTCCAGCTGTCTCTATACCTCCGTGCTTGCCCATATTCCTAGGGGTGGTAAGTGGGGAATGGATTCAGGAGGGAAAGTTGGCTTCCTTCTTCACCTGACAGTAGTTTTGTTCAGGTCTTATATTATTTGAGATTGGGACTAGGCCTGAAGACAAAAGAATGGCATTTGGATAACAAAAAAGGGACTTTGTCTAGTAACACAAACAAGTTGTGTGGCCTTTGTGCATTTTGTCACTGCTCTGGATCAATCTAGTTTTATCCCAGTACTCAGATGAACTAGAATAATCTGTATTAGTTAGTATCTCTATTTGATATGGTCTAGAGTCAGATATTTCTCAATCCTCAATACTGGAGGGTAATTCTGAGTTAGACTCAGATCTCTAGAGTGGTTTACTTATTTCATTGCTCCAAAACCCATTTCTTTTCTTTCTCTTCTTTTTCAGCTCTCATATGTTGCCCAGACTGCTCTTGAACTCCTGGGTTCAAGTGATCCTCCCACCTCAGCCTCTTGAGTAGCTGGGACTTCAGGCACTAGCCACTGTGTGTGACTCCAAACCCCATTTCTTCCCTTCACCTTTAGGGACAGCTTAGAGACTGCCTGTGACACAGGACAAGTTCTTTAGATTTATAGTCTTAATGGGTGCATATGTAGTTTAGGAAAGTATAGACTGGTCAGGAGTCACTTTTTTTCTTGATGGATGATGATGTATGTATGTTGCAGAGAGGCTATAAATGAAGAAAAACATTATTAGGAAGGCACCATGGGAAATGTTCCTTTACGGGTGTCCAGAGCAGTGTTTGACATCATTGTTAAGCCTGAAGCTTATGCTCTATTTCTTAAAAATGTTTTTTTTTTGTTTTTATTTAGGCTGATCAAGTGAAATTAAAAATGGTTTTTAAAATATTCATGCTGCCAGGCACAGTGGCTCACGCCTATTATCCCAACTACTTAGGAGGCTGACTCTGCTACATATAATAGAAAAATTAGCTGGCATGGTGGTACAGGCCATAGTCCCAGCTACTCAGGAGGCTGAGGCAGGAGGATCGCTTGAGCACTGGAGTTTGATGTTGCAGTGAGCTATGATGATACCACTGCTGTCTAGCCTGGGCCAAAGAGCAAGACTGTCTCAAAAAAATGATAATAAAAAACCAAAACAAAAGGAAAGGTTAATGTTAATGTTTTAAAGTGTTAATGTTATTTTTAGTGTGGGGAGTTAATGAATCTTAGAACTGGACATTTTATATAAGTAACCTTTTCCAACCATACCTTTAGAAAGTTTTCTGTTAAACTTTTTTTTTTATTATTATTTTTATTTTTTTTATTTCAGCATATTATGGGGGTACAGATGTTTAGGTTACATATGTTGCCCTTGGTCCTCCTTCCCCCATGTTAAACGTTTATTTTAGAAAAATCTTTTTTGAAATTGAAACTAATAAAATTATTAAAATGCTGAATATTCTGATTTTTTTTGGTGAAGATGTATTATTTTACAATTACAGTTACTGTGTTTTATTTTTGAAGAAGACTTTCATATAATTACTCCATATCAAAATAACTTTATTGTTGGGTAAATTAATAATGCATGCATTTTAATATACCATTTGCTAAACTAACTTGTAAAAATCTTTCTCTTTCAATTTGCCAAAATCAGTCTACATCCCAGCGGACTCATCAGTCAAAAATCAAGTAAGTGTTTCTTTTTCATAAAATAGTACATGATAAATAAGCCTAAAGGGGGGAAAAGACCTGCAGTTTAATAGTAAGCAAGTCCATACCATATGATTTCAAGTGTTTTCTTGTTTTGTTTTCTAAAATTGTTATAGACTACGTACAACTAATTTTAAGACTGTTTTAAGGGTTAGTATTAGTGTTTTTACGTATGTTAAATTCATATCATTTCTCATCATTAAAGTTACTTCACCTGGTTTCATATTATATCACTTTTCCATATATTAAGGAAAGTTTCTTCCAGTTAAATTGATGTTACTACAGGTAAATAGGTTAGTAGTAGGCTTGACAGAATTGTAACTTGCCCTGCCTTTTATATTTGGAGTAAATTTTTCATAGGAACATTGTGTGTGAGTTAAAAGTTAATATTGCTGAGGGCAGCAGTTGCAATAATGAATAAGCAATTAGCAAGACTTTGATTTTATTTTTAATTATTCATTAGCCATGTGTACAACTTGTATTCTTAGGACTGTAACAGGAAGAAACACAAGCCATTGATCTGGAGCTTTGCATCCTCACTGATTTTCAAAGGAAAACTGAGACTCTTGAGGTTCATTTCTTTAATGAAGATTGCTTTTTTGATATAATTACCTAAAATGGCTTAGAAACATTAAAACAATTTGTTCATGTTATAGGATACATGATACAGGATGAAACTCCAGGTATCTAGTAGACAAGGAACTTTGACTTGCCTTAGTGGCAGCAGCAGCAGGGGTAGGGCACTTAACCATTAAATAATAATTAAGGCGTTTGGAGCATAAAGAATCCAACACTTAATAAATGTACTGTGTAGCAGGCACTGTGCTTGGTCTGAGAATCCGGTAGTGGCAGGATAGATAAATAGCTCTGCTCTCAGGGACTAGACTTAGAGTTTAGTCTAATTTGAAAGTGAGGATTCCTACATTGTTAGAGCTTTCAGTTCAAAGGGTACACGTAATTAGAATCTCTAGACACATTAGTCTTCCCATGTACCTTCATGTTGAAGGAAGGTATTGTATATAATGTTGTGCCTGACACAATGAGTTAAACTTCTGTTAGTTTAATTTTGGCTTATTTGCTTTTGTTCCCTCTACTCAAGTCTTGCTTCCAGCTTCAGTTAAAAGAGCTGGGAGTGTTGACTTAGGTCTGGTGTACCACTGCTGCTGACTGGCTGATTGTTTCACCTTTCCGAGCTTAGGTTTTCTCTTCCATAAAATAGCGATAGGAATGTTTGTTTCATCTTTATTATTTGTTTGAAATGAGAGTATAAAGCTCTGTTGATGGTATATAACTGTTTCAGTTTAGAACAAATTTCATCTTAGTATTAGCTTGAGCACAACAATATTAGAGATGTAAGTCAGAACCCAGAAAATCATGTAAGTATTTAGGTCAATCGTGAAAGTTTGGACAATCATCTACCTTACTGGGTTTTTTCCCTTAGTACAGACCAAGAAAAATTAGTTACAGTAAATTGTTTCTGTGAATCAACAGCTACTTTGTTATTTTGTTCCTCAAGGTGGAGCTCTTGTTTTTTATCAGACTAGTTTTTATTTTGATGAACAACTTTAAGAAGATTAAAAGTGCTGTTTTAAGTTTTTCTTTTTTTCTTAAATAGGTATGACTGGTATCAAACAGAATCTCAAGTAATCATTACACTTATGATCAAGAATGTTCAGAAGAAGGATGTAAATGTGGAATTTTCAGAAAAAGAGGTCTTGGAACCATTTTTTATATTGAGATTAAATTCTATTTACAAGTTTAGCATATTACAGAATAATGTAAATCAGTTTATCAGATATATGCCATTTCTTCCTGAGATAATATGGACAATGCTGAGTAAAATCTGAAGATCGCTTTTAAGTTTGAGTCATTCTAAGTTTTGAGATAAGAATGTGTATGCTGTAAGCTCTCTGGGAGGCCGAGGTGGGCGGATTGTTTGAGCTCAGGAGTTCGAAACCAGCCTGAGCAAGAGCGAGACCCTGTCTCTACTAAAAATAGAAAGAAATTAATTGGACAACTAAAAATATATAGAAAAAATTAGCCGGGCGTGTTGGCACATGCCTGTAGTCCCAGCTACTCGGGAGGCTGAGGCAGGAGGATCGCTTGAGCCCAGGAGGTTGAGGTTGCTGTGAGCTAGGCTGACGCCACGGCACTCTAGCCCGGGCAACACAGCGAGACTCTGTCAAAAAAAAAAAAAAAAAAAAAGAATGTGTATGCTGTAGGTGATAGCTAGGTATACATTTTTTTCTTTAAATTTGGAATTCGAAACAACTTGGTTGACATTAATAAGATAATGTGATTTGGTAATACTTGTGTGGTATACTTTATGAAAAAGGTCTAATTCTTTGATTTATGCATGTCTTAGAATTTACTAACCATGTTAAATGAGTATGACTTTTAATAACTTGGTTTCTAATCATTTAGTAGAGAACCTATGATAGATAATTTGAGTGGTAGTGTTAGAATTATGTTTTGTACATGAATAGTTTCTTTTTGTTATATACTCTATGATTTTACTCTTGTGTATTTTGTTTGCTTGAGATCTAAATGTTAAATATGTGATAAATATTATGAAATATATTCTTTTCTGCTATTTAATTATGTATATGAGAAATCACCTGAAGGATACCAGTTTGGGAAAAAAGGATTATTTTGACATTTCATATAAAGTGTTTAAAATAATTTGCAACATTATCGAAGTTCTATATTAGTCACATTAAGTATTTTACCTATCATGTATAAATTTACAAAATGTGATTATTTTGTGTTCATTAGTTGTCTGCTTTGGTGAAACTTCCATCTGGAGAGGATTACAATTTGAAACTCAGACTTCTTTATCCTATAATACCAGAACAGAGCACATTTAAAGTACTTTCAACAAAGGTAAGACAATTGAAAAGGGTTGTCACAAATAATATTTTCAGAATATAGAAATACTGGTGAACTAATTACCCACGTGATAATAAACTTGTACATCCTTTCAGCCATGTATCTTTAAATTAAAAGGGACAGGTAAATAAAAATGATAATTTTTGAGTATCAGGGTTCTTCTCCTCCCAGAATTCTAGTACAATGAAGTGTAAATATCTGCTTAGCTTGTGTGATATTTGTGCACTTTATTATGAAAAGTAATACTTTTCTTTAAGGAGGTTTTTTTTAAAAAAAGGCTAGTTATAAAAATCAGCCTCTTAAGATTGGATACTGATAATGTCTTTTCTCTTGAACTTGTCCATTTGTCTGTTTAATGTACAGCTACTTTTCTCACCGTACCTCATGCATTTCAAAATACAAACTACTATATAGATGAGTCTGCTTTTTTGTTTTATTTTTTAATTAAGCCGAATTATAGGTTACTTTACTGTGAGGCAATATATAATTCGTAGTTTCAGTAACTATAATTCTTAGATTCCTTTATATTTTCAAAAAGAAGTAAAAATATACAATGGAATTAATATTCACCAAATATTCAACTCTCACTTAAAAGATATAGGTAGTGGTACAACTTAGTGGGGAAAGTACTGAACTGAAAATCAAATCTGACTGACTTTTTGCTTGCCCTGTGAATTTAGTCTCGTCACAAAATGATTATAGGACTAAATTTTCATCATCTGCAAAATGAGGGATATGGGCCAAATGAGCTCTGAAAGCTTTCCAGCCGTAAAATTGTGTATAGGTATTTGGTAAATGAGTTAATGGGAATGAATGCTATAGGTAGGCTTTTTCCATTATTACACCTTTTTTATACACAGATCCCTACAACATATTATGCTATTAACTTATTAAGTTCTAAGAACATGTGAGGTTTCCTATCATGGTACAGGATCAGGGTCAGCCTGTGTCATGAAGAATGACGACTGGGCCTGCAGAAAGAAGAGGATAGCTGCACAGGATTGGAGCAGGAAGTGCAAAGTATAGAAGTACTTTTTTGCATCTAATTAGAAAAGTTCTGCCTATTTATTTGAAGATTGCCAAGAACAAAGCTGGTAGTTAATGAGGCAGATCTAAACAGCTGCTTGGGACAATACAAAGTGAGAAAAGGGATGAAATCGTATCAGGATTTTAGTCTGTCACTGGCCCTATCCACATAAGTGAGGAATTTGCTTAATAGAATTTAATCAAGCACAAAACTCTAGGAAGATTTGAGAATGAGACAAGTCAGAAAATTATGAGTTTCATTTTTTTGTATATTTTTATCAAGAGATTGTTAATCCATGTCCATTTGAAGTAATCTAAATGTAAATTGATTTGTATGAATAGATGATAAATGATTTAAGAACTTGTATTACTGAGCCACCCCATGTACTTGTGGAAAAACGTAGTATGTGTGGTAAATACACAAATCTGTATGGCTAGAGTTGAGGTTGTAATTAAGTAGTCTGATCTCTTGCTTTTATTCTCCTTCTAGTGTTTCTCGTTTTTAACCATTCCTCAACACACCTTACTGGTGTCCCAGTTTGCTTTTTTTGTCCCTTTTCCTTTAAGTGCTACGTAACCACTTTTCTTCCTTACATAGTTCCTCGCTTATATATACATTTTATATTCCTTGTACCTATGTAAGTCTTTCGAGGATAAGAAGCATGTCTTGTATCTTTGTGTGTGTCCCGGTTAGGGTTGCCAAATTAAGTTTGTATTTCAGAAAAACAATGCATAATTTTTAGTGTAAATATTTTCTGTGCTGTATTTTTATTTGCTAAATTTAGCAGCTCTCTCCCTGTGCATTGTACATAGGGGGTGCTCAATAATATTTGTTCAATTAATGAATCTCAGCTGGATTCTGATGTTAGACCTATGACATTGGTGGAGTAAATATTTTTATTCTTAGTTTTACAGGTAGGGAAAAAAACTGAGGTTCATGGACTTTAAATGCTTTCCCCAAGTACTAAATTGTTCAGCCTGGCCCAGGAGACATACTTTTACTTCTGACTGCCAGCCAAAGCTAGTGCTGCTTTGCTTAGGTTTTTCTCAGTTCTGGTTTGAAGAACTTAGATTCTAAGGATGTATTCTAAAGGATGATTATTTTTCTTGTCTTGACCCTGGAAGATCCACATTTTTATACATACATGTATATAAAACTTCTAACTTTTAAGCTGTATTTTATAGGAAACATTGAAAGAATTTTTCTTAATTTTATGTTAAGAGAAATAAATGATGAAAACTTTGAATTCTTTTTTCATACAGCAGAGGGAGACAATGTTAAAATACTGAAAATAAAATCTCTGGGTTACCTGAGGCTTATTTAGTGATCACTCTAACAGGAAAAAGTACTGAAATAATTTGCTTTTCATGTATTTAAATGTCTTGAATGTATTTCTGTTGAGATGTCTATATGTGAATTGAAAAAAGGGTACATTTTGTTTAGGAGAATCTGCTTAAAATTAGAGATTCTGTAAAATCTGCAACTTAAAAGAGCTATTTGCTTTTGAGAATCCTATTTTCTTTCCCACCTTCAAGGTTGAATTAATATTGCATATCCACGTATAGCCATTGTTTAAGTGTTATTAATTTGAGTGAAATATAATTTGTGATGAAAATAGGAAGAGGTAAGGCCCTTACATTAATGAAATGTCTAAACTGCAAGGGGTTTTCCGTCTAGTTCCTGTTGCTCCTTGCACTAAGATCCAATTATTGAGAACAAGGAGAATTACCAAGGAAGAAAGGAATTTGTAAGACAACCGATGAGAACAAGAGAAGCTGCCTCAAATCCCCCTCTCTAAGGGAGATACTGGGCTTTTAAAGGAAGGGCTACCTGCCTTGGGGTGTAACTCTACTGCTTTGGGGGGCAGGCTGTGGGGAATACTGAATCTTGGCTTCAGGAGGTCTGCCCTGGGGCCTTCAGAATCTCAGCTCCTTTGTCTTGGGGAAAATCCACCATTTCTAGGAAACTACTCAGAAGGTCAAGTAGTTACTTGAGGGCATTAAAATTTGTACATGGGACCTGTTACAGGAATTTTTTTTTTTTTTTTTTAAAGAGACAGTATCTTGCTCTGTTGCCCAGGCAGGAGTCAATTAACATGAACACTGTAACCTCCAGCTCCTGGGCTCAAGCCATTCTCCTACCTCAGCCTTCCAAGTAGCTGGGACTACAGGTGCATGACACCATGACTGGCTAATTTTTGTATTGTTTTTGTGGAGATGAGGTCTTGCTATGTTCCTCAGGCTGGTCTCAAACCCCTGACCTCAAATAATCCTGCCTCAGCCTGACAAAGTACTAGGATTACAGGTGTGAGCCACACTGAGCCCAGCCAAAATAGCACTACTTAACTAAATATTTCACAGTGTAATATCTAATGTTTTTGAGCAGAATTCATATTTTTTCAGTATCTGATAGTTATTTCTACATTTTATTAAATACAAGCTTTCATGTCCACCTGTTAACCCGTTTTTTAAAAATTAAACTGTAGTGTTTCTTTTGTTCCATCTTGTTAATTTCATGACAATTTTCTGTTGTCACAATTGTGAATAGTAGTTATACTGTGACTGTTCATTTTAAAAATCCATATTCATTTCCTTTAAGAATACGAATTCTCAGTCCTTTGGGGTAAATTTACCCTTGCAGAATGTTCCTATATTCCTATTTTTAGTCAAAGTAATTTTTCTGTATTATACAATATAAAATAGGAAGACCTGGAATCATGGGAAATAAAAATATTTTTAAAGGAAGGATTTTACTATACATACTCTCTGGTTTTTTGTTTGTTTTTATTTTGAGATGGGGTCTCACTCTGTTGCCCAAGTTGATCTCTAACTCCTAGGCTCAAGTGATTCTCCTACCTCAGCCTCCGGAGCAGTTATGATTAGAGGCATGTGCCATTGCACCTGGCTCATAGTGTCTGTCTTTTTAAACCTAATCATGCATTGTGGATATTTTTATCATGCTCTTAAATATTCTACAGCAAAGTATTTTATTGTATGCATGTACGGTAGCTTATTTAGCCAGTCCCATGTTGTTTGACCTGTGGAGAGTTACAATAGTTGTTTTGACTGTTTTATCATATGCCAGATGCTGTATTGTGTATTATCTCATGTAATTCTCAAAATTACTGCATTGTGTAGGTATTTTTATTCCTAGTTTATAGGGAGAGAAACTGAACTCAGACATGAAAAACCCAGGTTTTTCAGCTGACTATAATGATGAAGATACTGATAATAGCATTCATTTGTTAGTTATTTGCCGGAAACAGTGCTATATTCTTTTCATACATGGTCTCATTTAATTCTCATAGGAACCCTGTACAACAACCCTGTTGTTCTCACTGAGATATACTCATACATCCGACAAATGGCGCCTGTTTGTGACTCTTCTCTAATTACACAACTGATTTTTTTGGTCTTGTTCTCAACCCCTGCTTATTTCTGAAGAAATAAGTAAAAATTCTAGCTGAAAAAGGCATTTTCTGCAAGTTATTTCATCCCTTGACTCCCTCATCTCTAAAATATGGATAAGTAATCTCCTTTTATATGGTGGTTCTATTAAGTGAGATGATGTATGTGAAGCACTTAGCACATAGGGTATGTAATAAGTGCTCGATAAGTGTTACTGCTATTGTCCTTATTGTTTTATCCTGATTAGAGTTTTATTCAGGTTATAAAAGCAATAAGTACATATCATAGCACATCATCAGAAATTTAGAAAAGGTAAAGAAGAATCAGACTCACCATGATGACATTTTAGCATACTTCCTTCTGGATAATTTGATATTTCCCAATATGTAGTCTGTCACTACACATAACACATACTAGAATTGTTTTGTTTATGAGAATGTCTCCTGATTAATTTAGGAACAACAGAGGCTCTGTCCTTACGTAACAGCACAGTGGCTGGCTCAGAGTAGGCACTCAGTAAGTGTTTGAAATGAGATGATTCATTACCATCTTTTGCATTTTAAAAATTGATTATAAAATGATTTGAATATAAAAGAAGGTAGGTGTGTTAGTCTGGCCTCAGGAAGACTGAGCTATTCTATTATCAGAGGGATTTGATACAGCAATTAAATATGCAGAAACACAGAAGCACTACATTGCAATATATGAATGTAGCAAAATTGCACTTGTACCACATGAATATATACAAATAATAATAAAAAAAAACCTGTGGATACTGCTTTGGGTTATTATGGCACCATGAAAGCCTTCCCCATGCATATGAGAGCAAGATTCAAGCAAACTATCAGTTTTAAGTTAAGTTTTAAGGTGTTTTTGACTTAAATGAACACAGAGTAGTTTATTAATGATGGCAATAGAAATCTCTGAAATTGGACTAATGTTAAGTCCGGAATTATCTGCCAGAATCTTCAAGGCTTAAAACTTTATTTTAAAAAGCCACGTTCAAGCATCGAATGTGAAGTAGGTGTAAAAATGAATTCATAGAAAATGGGTCCCCGCGATCCCTTTTTTTTACTTTTTTAAAATGGTTTATTACATGCAGCTATTTTAATGAATGAGTTAAGTATAATTTTAAGTTCAGGTCAGCTTGTCTCACCTGAAACAGGTTGTTACTAAGAGCTTTGACTTTGGCTTTATAAATAAAGGCCTCTTTGTTCATACTACACAATTACTCAGGTTACAGTAGCTTTCAATACATGTAAGTGCTAATCTGTGCTATTCTTTGAAACAATGAACTTTTTATAGACAGTGTATATACATAGTACAGGAACATGAAGTGTGAATATTTAGTGCCCTGTGGCCAAGTTTAGTGTGATGATGTACACGCTGCTTTCCAGGCCCTCGTTTCCAGAAGAGTTGAAAATTAAAGGAGTAAGATGCAGTTTTAAATTTAGGATCACATCAATAGCACTTTTCAGTAACTGTTGCTATGTCATTGCCAGCCTTTGGATTTCTGTCCCCTTTTGATAAATATCCCAGAGGTGACAAAGTAACCAGAGTACTGTCACTTACGAGAAAACATTGGTAGTATTTACCTTATAAAAATCAATCATTGTTCACTTTAGGCAATTCTATAAATTGTTATGAAGTATTTCTTATATATATATGTGTATATATATATATAGAATTTAAGCATGTAAATTACGTTAAAGATACTATCTATACTTTTTGCTCTTGCCCCAGTGACATTTGTTTCATGGTTTCATGTTTTTCTTTTATTGTGAAAACAATTCTTACATTTCTGTGCTCTTAAATAAAAATAGACATTTAGAGACCACATATTCCAGGTACCATCACTCCATGTCTGATTAAAAATATTGGCAGGTTTCTCCGTTATGGCTTTGTTAAGGTATTTTAAAATACAGATTTTGAGTGTTGTCTTTCTAAATGCATGTGGTAGAAAGATTACCAGAAATTGCTGGTTTAAATGAGTTATCTGATATAAAGAAGTCAAAGAACCAGGCGGGTAGATGGGCTTTTTTTTGAGGGGGTCAAATCTGTCTTTTGATTTTTTTCTTATTTACAAGAGTAATGATCCTTTTCATAGATAAAATATTAGAATATAAAATTCTAATTTGATCTGTTTATTACTGTGTTTACTTTAATATTTGCACTAAAAGTGCTGATTTTTGCCAGGCTAAAAATGGGAGTGAGAGCATTACGTGAATAAGGAAAACAAAAGGTTATGTATAAATGCTGTGTAAGTGTGTGTTAGGGGTAAGGTTAGGTTCTAGGGGACCAGCCTTGATTTAGATGCTATTAGGATGCCATTAACTTTTCATTTTAATAAGTGAACTTAGTCTGGGCCGGGCGCGGTGGCTCACGCCTATAATTCTAGGCTCATGCCTGTAATCCTAGCACTCTGGGAGGCTGAGGCGGGCGGATCGAGCTCAGGAGTTTGAGACCAGCCTGAGGAAGAGCAAGACCCGGTCTCTACTAAAAATAGAAAGAAATTAATAGGACAACTAAAAATATATAGAAAAAATTAGCCGGGCATGGTGGCGCATGCCTATAGTCCCAGCTACTCGGGAGGCTGAGGCAGGAGGATCGCTTGAGCCCAGGAGTCTGAGGTTGCTGTGAGCAAGGCTGACGCCACGGCACTCTAGCCAGGGCAACAAAAGCGAGACTCTGTCTCAAAAAAAAAAAAAAGTGAACTTAGTCTGAAGCTCTTTATAGTCAGCCTTCCACCTCTTTTTCCATCTATAGTTTTCACTGCTCTGACATAAATCCTGGACCTGAGGTAAATTGGTCTTCTCTGTACTCCCTGATGCACTGTGTCCTTTCATACCCTAGAGCTCCAAGTTTAGGCCATTCCTTTTGCCTCTGTAGACCTACCCCTTCCACTCTTGCTTCTATCCCCCAAAGCCCTTCAAGGTGCCTTGAAATCGTTCCTCTTCACAAGCAGGTATGATCTCTCTTGAGTTTTTAGAACATTTATTTGCCTCTTCAATAACTCTCTTCAAGTATCTCAGTACTTCCAAGTGATTAAGAATGTGTCTTTAATATTTTTAAAATCTCGCCTAGTCTTGAAGACTATACTTCCCATAGTGGATGCTTAGTAATTATTCGTTGAATGAATGAATGTAAAAATGTTAGCATTAATTACGTTTATACAATGAAATTTCTCCATTCTAAAACAAATTAATGCACATGTAAATATAGTAATTCTTTTCGAACAGGATTACTCAGTGGTGGCATTATTGACATTTTGGGTTGGATAATTCTTTGTTGTGGGGGGCTGCCCTGTACATTACAGGATGGTTAGTAGCATACCTGGTCTCTATTCACTAGATGTCAGTACCACCCCTGCTCTCTCCTTAGTTATGACAGCCAGCAGTGTCTTCAGACATTGCCAAATGTCCCCTGGGTGGCAGAATCCTCTTGGTTGAGAACACTGCTCTAGAAGGAAAAAAGCATAGATTTCAAGACTCTTCTTAATTGTAGCTTATATAGTTTGTATGTTGTTTTTTGAAGGGTGAATTTTAAGTGTAGAAACAAAATAAATGTTTCATAGTTCTTCAAATTTAACCTTGTATAATTTAAGAAAACTGTTCAAGACACTATTAATTCTTATAAAACTTTGATGACTTAAGACAATTGCATTTTTTACTGTATTGTGTATTTTACATTGAATAATGGATTTTATTTGGTGTTTCCTACAGATTGAAATTAAAATGAAAAAGCCAGAGGCTGTGAGATGGGAGATGCTAGAGGGGCAAGGAGATGTGTCTAAGCCAAAACAGTTCATAACAGGTTTGTTTTCTGGTCTTGATGAGCTTTAAATTCATATTGTCTTGTGTAATTGAAATTAAATAGTAATGAGCATTCTTTCTACTTTCATTATTTATGTTCCCAAGATAAGATACATTGAGTATAATAAGGTTGCTCTGTATTGAATACAAAGTAGTCTTTCTTCTGAAGGTTCAAACTTTTTAAACTCTTCAGAATACAAACAAATGGCAGCAAAATCCCAGAAGGAGTTGGAATTTGTTCTTTACCATGTCAAGTTTATAACATCAGTTGGAGATGGTTTATTTTTGTGTGTTGGCCTTTCCTGTTGCTCCTTTTTGGGTGGCAAGTTAATTAATTTATTCTGCTGATATATTTCTGTCTCGATTTATTTCTTTCTATTCCTTCTAATATTGTCAACTCTAGTTTCCTGGAATTTCAGGGCTTCACACAGTGAAGTATCTAGTCTATTTCACTATATTGCTAATTTAGAGATGGATACAAACAGGTAATAATGCCTTAGAAAAGCCTATGAGAAAAGTAGAAAACTAGGGTTAAGACAGACAACTTTGAAGTTAATTTTAAGCTATATTATAAGCAGATAAGCATTTTTCTAATGGCCAGATTTGTAGGTCACTCTTAGAACTATAACCTAAGATTGTGGTTTATGGCAATAGCCTCATTAATGAATGGAGAGAAATTTCTTTTTGATTATTAGAGGTAATGGTCTTATTTGATAACTGAAACAAGCTAGCATTTTGTCTTGGCTACTTTTCTTTTATTACATATTCCCTTTTAAAACATATTCCCTTGTGGCATCTTTTAGAAAACACCAAGTTAGTTATTCACATCATTTGTGTGCCTGCATATTTATTTAGAAACATTTTAAAACTCATACAGAAGTTGCAGAAATGAGTTCTGATGTACCCTTTACCAAGCTTCTCTGAATGATAACAGTTTAACTAGTCTATAGTATAATTAGCAAAACTGGGATATTGACACCAACAGATACTTCTTAAGGACTGAAATATTTCTAGTTGATATTTAAGGTATTCAATTAAGTGTCTGCTTCATACTTTATTTGAAAAACATAGTAAAGATGTTGTGTATTTCTCTTTGTACTGAGTCCTAAAGATTTTTGGACTGAGGTTTACAGATAGCACAGGGCTTTTTTTTTTTTTTTTTAAGTTGTTTTAAATGTATCTCACTGAATTCTAACAACTGCCCTATAAAATAGGCCGCCCATATTATATTCCTCCCACTTCACAGGCTTAG